GGACTTCTGTCCATACATCTATTGTTAAACAAGTCAAGTGGTTCATAAAAACTTTGTCTTGTCTTGGTATTCTTTCGGTTGATTCCTTTAAAATAATCCAAACTGATGCCTCCGACATTGGCTACGGTGGTATTCTCTTTCAAAAACTTACTCCAGCCTCCCATGAACAAATCGTTCGATTCCACTCTAATATCTAGAATAAAGCACAAGCAAATTATAGTACTATTAAAAAAGAAATTTTATCTATTGTCCTGTGTGTCTCTAAATTCCAGGATGATATATTAAATCAAAAATTTCTAATTAGAGCTGACCGTAAATTTACAAAATATGTTTTGAAAAATGATGTACATTACATTGCTAATAAGCAGATTTTTGCCAGATGACAATCTATTTTGAGTATTTTCGATTTTAACATCGAATATATTGAAGGCAGTAATAACTGCATTCCTGATTTCCTAACCCGAGAATTTTTGCAGCGATCCCATGGCGGACAGGAAATCTCCTAAGCCCAGTACCTCTTCCAAAGCCGAGAGAGAACAGAAACAAAAACAATTAATCTTGTCAAGCCCATTAGCCTTGTCAAGCCCACAAACATCCTCTATCAAAATTATGGTGACCCAGGTTCCAACATGACCGCATCATTGCCCAAGTCAAAAAAGAGTTCCCAGTAAAAGTTCCAGCACCAGTTACAGTATCAACTGTTGCAGCTACCCTTCCACCAGTAACTCCAACACCAGCAAAGGCTCTGTCAGCCCTTAAGGTTTCTACACCAGAGAAAACCCTGACTCCAGCCCCGCCGCAAGCAGCAAAACATAAGCAAAAGAAGTCCTCCTCTAAGGACTCCAGTAAGCCCTCAGAATCATCAAAGCAGTCAAAGCCGAAGTCTTCTTAGCTCATTGCCCTAGCCCAGAAACTTCTTCAACAAGTAGCAAGTTGTAGTGATTCATCCTCCCTGACATCTTCTACAGGGTCCATTAACCCATTTGTAGATTTGGGTCCAGATAGCCAAGATCCATTTGATGGAATTGATGACCTCACTCCTGACCTAACTTCTCCTTGATTTTTCTCCTTATGCGTGATAGTTTCACTCACTACTTTCTTCACCTAAAGAAAGAAAAGTTGTCTATTACGTATAATGTTAAGATATCTGTCAGTACATCAGCCCTTTCCCCAAGAAAAGTAGCTGACCATACCCATGTGCTCTGTCAGTACATCAGCCCTTTCCCCAAGAAAAGTAGTTGACAATACTCATGTGTTCTGCTTTTTCACCGAAAACAGATTCTTTTCTCCTGAGGTAGGGACCCATTTAGCACTCTGTCCTAATTTTCAGACATCAAGACCCATTAAGATTCTTTTGTCAAAAGTTACCCAAGTAAAAGTATTTTGCCCATACTTTTCCACCGAAAGTTGTGGTGAATGTCTTTTACCAAGTGATAAAGCAGAAAAGGACATCAGGACAAAGGATTCCTTCAAAAAATCCTTATGCCTATATTAAGGTCTCCGGGGGGGGGAATGAAGGGAGGTCTTTTGGAAAAGGCACAAAGTTACACACCTAGCAAAACACTCACCTTCACCAAAAATCCTGTATTTTAAAGATCTCTCATAATAATGCAAATGAAGAGTTTATCTCTTATCCTCTTTCACTACTAGCCCACTTAGTGCTAGTATTGTAAGTATATTAGTTTTATTTCATATTGTAATTTATTTACTTTTGTTTGTAAAATTATTCTACATCTTGTGATTCTCCTTGAACTCTCTCTCATTCCGTACTTCAATGAATTTCGCACTTCATTCCATTTTGATATCAAAGTCATTTGACGGCCTGGATAGTTACCCATGCAGTTATATTTGAGTCATCTTACTTATTTTAAATTTTACAGTTTCAACTAGTAAATTAGTTTTAATTTTAGTTCACCCTGATCACCTAGCCTTTGTCTATCTCGAGCAAATAGTTGATCATTCCCGTTTTGTAAGTCCTTGTGTAGGCAGTTTTAGGGAAATCAGACAGGTTCTGAGAGAATATGTATGTTAGGGGGTATGTATCATGGTATCAAAAAATTAAAATTAATTTACAAAATTGAAAAATTTTAAATTTAGTAATGAGTAGATTATTCAGATCTAACTCTGTGGCTAGCTCATCTAGATCTTCATTAAGCACTATACCTAACATAGTAAATGAAGAAAAACATGAGTTTGGAGAAACAAGAGTAGATTAGACTGGATGAAATATCCCAAAAGTATCCCATCGAGACATCTATAAAACTAGTTGGCTCCTTAAAGCCTTTAATAAAGAATTACAAGTAAAAACTATTGAACAAGTATATCCTCTTTTTAAGGATAAACAAACTTGTCAACTGTTATGTCCCAAAATCCTTAAAAAACATAGAGAAAAAAGATTTAATTTTATTCACCTTGGATTAGTACGAGTGGCAATTAAACTATTAACTCAACAAAGGAAAAATTCAGCAGCCTTGTTAACTTTGAGAGATGTCAGGTTTTTAGAATATGAACCTAGTATCATTGGTATAATGGAAACAAGTCTCCATAAAGGACCAGTTTATTTTAATTGTTTTCTTGATTTTATCTTAAGTTTAGGATGCAAAAATACTCCTTTAGTTTTAACCTTAGGAATAAAGCTTACAAGAAGCATCACTAAATTGGTAAAAGAAACTGAATCAATAGTACTTATCTACAGGATTTACTATAAATGCATCACCACAAACCTGAATGTGCATGCATTACAAAAGAGTCCTTTAGGAAGCATTACACTGATTCAAGCCAGTACTAGTCAAACTAATATCCAAGCTCCTAAGCAATCCTCTGGAAGGATATAACGCTCCCAAAATCTTGGATAGTAAAAAATGAAAATCATGATAAAGATAGTGAAAACACCACTACAAATGTTGAAAGCATCTACCAATTATCGGATGGCTTAGTAAGAATCTCCTTTGATTCTGCAAGATCCAGTAGGTCAAACAAACCTATTCAAATTAATGAAGGTAGAAAATCTGAATCTAGTTCTAGACTCTCTAAACGAGATCAAGAAATAGATAAAGAAATTCAAAGACTTTTTAAGTTAAAAGGAATTGATAGTTCCTCTTCACAAATTAATAAGCCGTGTTATACTCCACATCAGAGTATGCTACAAAAAACAAAAGAAGATGAAGAAGAAGACTTCACCCCTTCTCCTACTGCTAGTGACCTCCAGAATAACGCCCCAATAAACCACCAGTTACTCATGATTAGGAAAGAGTTTAGTACCCTATTCATCCCTGATATAAATAGATTAAAAATAGACTTTGAATCATCTAGAAATAAATCTAAAATATATATATATATATATATATATATATATATATTTAAAAAAATTAAAAAAAAAATATTTTTTCCATCTTAATTAAGGGTGAAAATTTTTGAATTAACATGATAACACGACTTGAACTCGATATGAAAATAAACAAGTTAACTCGTAACTCGACACGACACGACATGATACAATTAGTTAAATGAGTTAAGTTAATTTTGACTAATATTTGACACAAACTCGTAATGATTCAACATGAATCTGACACGACACGACTCGATTGTCGCCCCTAATTTTAACTAGCACAAAAAATAAAAATAATCATTTTTATTTTTCATCTATCAAACAAAACACAAAAAAAAAAAAAATGTGTCCTTCTAACTTTTCATCCTTCTTACGTTTCATCTTTTCTACCAAACAAACAAAGCATAAAAGAGAGACTCTGGAAATGTTGTCTGTACACGGATTGAAATATAATATTTTCTTTTCACTGTTTTCTGTTTATATGTCTAGTTGTATTGCTTGATTTTTAGTGCCTGACATGGTAATTATGGCGGAAATGTGATGATAATATTGGTTGACCAATGAGATGCAATAAAGATTTTTAGTTTACACCAACAATTTTAGATTAATACAAGTCTCTCTCTAAGATACAGTTAAAATAATTGACTTATTTGGAAGTTTTTAGGCTTGTCCATTGAAGAAAGCCAAACGAAATTTTAACCCCATGTCGCATATGGCATGAACACTGATGTTTTTTTTTTTTTCCCGGTAGGTCATGAACACATGTTGAAGCCAAGAGATAGTTGACCTTTTGGATGGGATTGCTAAATTGTACACGGCTAGAACATAACTAGGACACGACATGTAATAACTCCGATATCGCTCTATGATTCTGCGCAAATTTTTGATACAGAATTCAGAACATGTCAACGTGAGTAATGATAAAATATACTCTTTTTCTTTTTTCTTCTTGAGAAGAACCCCTAAATCCTAACCGAGTCGGGCTTACCCTCGTGTGTTGCATGTGCCTCAACACATCTTGTAGGTAAGTCGGGAAAGAGGGGGGGGGGGGGGGGGGAGTGCACTGGGCCCACTTACAGAAAGATGTCATTATGTTGGGATGAAATTCAAACACCGCACATCTCTTACACGCTAGATTTTGGGTCAAGTGCATGCAAACATTTAAATTATCAGGGTGACAGAAAAATACAATCACAGAACTCATACTTTGATATCATGTTAAACACATATCTATTCCAAAAACTTGCTTCATTTGTTGGAAGAGCGAGTACCAACCGGAAGGAGGGAGGGAAGAGGGGGGGGGGGGGTTGAGATAATAATAACTGGCATGATTTAGACCACTCCAGTGAAAGGTAATGGTAGCATGACTGTGGTATTTATTTTCTTGCTGGTGTTACCATGAAGAACAGTTGAAAATTTGGTGATTAAGCATTTCCTGACACACCAGAACCCATTGAATCCCCTTGGCCCTTGGATTAGGCAAATATATCCTGTTCTTATAAGCCAGTCATCCCCTACCTCCTTCCAACTCTGCCATTTTTGGGTTAGTTCCTTACTTCTGTGAGATGCCTTCACTTTTAGAATCTAGAAAATGAGAGGACTGGAATAAATTTTAAGTACAGATTTAAGATGCTTCTATCCTTGCACTTGGTTAGAAACTAAAACAGTTTATATTAATAAAGAATCTGTTATGAACAGCAGCACAACTAGACTTCAACAAATTTATAGAAACTAGAAAGTTAAGTATGGTCCTCCTAAACACCAAAAAAAAAAATTATATGAATGATTAAAAATGCGCCTACAAGGCCTTTTACACAGTTCAATTGCAGACATTTACAGTTGGTAGTGGTACTCGTATCAGGTAACACAATCTACCTTCCGGACATAAGATTAACCATACCCTGGTTTTCATAGAAGGAGCCGATGTCCCAATCCTCAGTTGAGGATGAGAGTGTCATAAGTGCAACCACAACGGACCTCATGCTTGGCCTCAACTGAGGATTTTCGTGTGTGCAAGCTCTGGCAAGTTGGGCCATCTGAAAAGAAAAGAGCCACTCAAGTTCAGTAAAATTTGAGAATACTTTTCCATTACTTGCAATTACTGGGATTTGTGCTTACCTTTCGCACCGAGTCAAGTGGGTAGTTGTCACCAAGCCTGGGATCAACCAGTTTGCAAAGACCTTCTCCAGGATCCGTCTGACTAAGTACTTCCTCAAACTGTTTAATATCAATAGGTAAGTTTTATATTAGCTTTAAAGGACTAACTTCAAGGGTGACCATTACGTGGCAAGGTGAGCAAGGGCACAAGAAATACCAATGCAACGAGTCCCTTCGATTCAGTGACAACTTCATTTGTCTTGATAATTGCTTCTTTACCAGATATTAGTTCATAAAGAACAACTCCAAAAGCATATACATCTGTCTTGGGGGAAACATCACCATATTGAGCATACCTGCACTCAAGGCACCTCAAATTAAAGCATGTTGTTTGGACAAATGCAGTCCAACAAAGTTTAAGTAACTTTAAGAGCTTGTAGATCCAGAGAATCCGGAAACTAGCCTATACGTGCAGATAAGCTCTCCCAATTAGAATTTATATTGGAATCCTGTTGTTCCATATTTTTTATTCTATGTGACATGTCTTGGCACTATTTTTATGAAAAATCCTGCACTAAAGAGTTGTGTACAACTACAACAAAGATCAAAAGCTTTGATTTCATGAGCTCTGTAACCATCATTTGCTCTTATTCATGTCTATGAGGGAAATTAAATGTTTCTATTTATTGTTTCTTGTTTTTATAACCCATATAACATTAACAATGAAAGCTTAACCTAATAAGAAGAGTATTAGAGGGCCAACAATTTTCCAAATAAAAGCATCTAGTTTCTTCAATCCTTGATTCCAAAAGAAGATTTCTGTAGATTCCATAAGCTGGGAGACAAGTAGATTTCTGTTACCATTGAAATTTAGACTGATAGTGAAGAGCTCAAACAAGTAAGAATATGTACATGCGTGAATGGCTCACTAAATAAAGTGAAAGTGTCAAATCCAGAATGGGCTCGCTAAAAGAAACGAGTGATCTCAAACTGACACTAAAAAAACACAGAAAACTAAATCTTACTCTGGAGGCATGTAGCCAAAAGTACCCACGAGATGTGTTTGTAAGGAAGTAGACCCAACTTCAGTCAGTTTTGTCAGCCCAAAATCAGCTACCTGTGGAGTAACTAGTTTAGTCAAAAAAGAGACAACGAAGATTGATGATTTACAATTCTCATATGCTTTTTCACAACCTTTGCACGGAAGTTTTCATCTATCAAAATATTTGCCGACTTGATATCACGATGGATGTAAACGGGAACAGTATGTTCATGGATGTATTCAAGTCCTCTAGCTGAATCAAGGGCAATTTGTAGCCTAGTAGACCACAGCAATGGTTGCCTTTCTGAAAGCAACAGGTAATACAACCATAAGATGGGTGCAACCAACGAAAATCTTAGTTTTGCATATGTAACATGATTCTCACCTGAACCACGCAGATGCTCACTTAAGTTGCCATTCTCAATGTATTCGTAGACCAAAAACAAGGAACCCTCAACACAATATCCTATCAAACGCACCTGCATTGGATTTTAACATATCAGTCACATATAATCATCAAGTTAAGAATCAAACCTCTTCGAGGACCATCAAGGATAAAAAATTCCAAAGTAAATCAACAAGACCATATTAAGAGATTTGTAGACAAACACGCATTCCAACAAGAATTCAAAAGTTGACAGTTAGAGTTTCTCTCACTTAACTCCCTCGTAAGTAATAAAATGGACATCACATTATGGTAGTCAAATTAGCATTCTAATAATTATCCATTGGAAAAAATTAAACATGAGTTAGTTATAAGTCCAATAGTGCTACAGCCCAATAGGTCTGAATCACAGTTTCATATGAAAGAGCTTGAAAAAAATCAAGCATACATTTTATTACAAGTCCAATAGTGTCACATTGTCAAGAATCTCAATCAACATATGTAAAAGCTTGATTCTTTGGATCACCCAGCAAGGAGGAGACAACATTGTATAATGCATGACCAATGCTATTGGGACCTAAAAATCTGATTTAATTTGCTGACCTAATTCACTATGACTTTTAGATTGACTGTAGGCTCCATTAAACATTGGAACTTGGTGTTCATCTAATGGTTCTACTGAAGCCACGTCATTATGTTAGCAAATTAGGTCTGAGTTTTAGATCCAAATGACATTACTCATAATGCATCATACATTGGTCAACTATATAAATGAATTGCTTTGGGAGTTTTCCAGAATTGCACATCAAGCAATCAAAGCTTTCAGAAGACAGCTTCAGAAACTTTATAGTGCATCTAAAATTGGAACTTGATCCATATTTGTTAATATTCTCATTTGTACAAATATACAACAGTCTAAAATTATAGGAGGTGATAAAGAATTGGACAATACCAAGTTCAAGTGATGAACATGCGTTAAAACCTTCAGTTCAGCAAGGAATTCTTTTGATGCTTGCATATCCATCTTCTTGATTGCAGCTTTCTGTTTTGTGAGAAAAGACAATATAAGTTCAGGAGGAAACAGGCAGAACATGTCAAGGTTCAACATCTAAAAGACTAAACTAAAGTAGGTCTTATATCAAGCTAGAGTCCGGAGGAGTAGAGCAGGTAGGACCATAAGATATCACGATGTTAGAACATAAGCTAGTTTGTGAAAACTGCAATGGTAATGGATGGTTGCTTACTTCACTGCTCACTGGTTCAAAACAATTTATTTATTTATTTTTATCTAGAAGGTGTTTTGACCCACTCACTCGTAAGATTGTTTCCTTTCCTTTCCCTTCACAACAGGTCCAGTCCCACATTTGCAAATTATATGCTCAATCTCCTTGAACAAGCAGTGTCCTTGAAACCCTAACATCAGTTAGTTTTCTGTGCAGAGAAAGAATCAAGTTATATCATATCCTGGAACCTGGGTTTCCCTTTATTGCTGAGGTTGTCATCTATTTTACGCTTATAGATCAATGACAACTCTGCTCAATTCAGCTCGCAACTGTTCAGGGTGGTGTACACAATCCATCTAATGCATTTGGCTGACCCAGAGCTTACTTATTGATGACACTTCACTAGATTTATCTAACCCAACCTAGGTGGATTTATCTGACAAATAATAATCTCATCTAATTAAAAGGCCTGACAATTTCATAAAACAACTTTCTTCTCTTGCATCCTATTTGTTGTATGAACAGTAGAACACAAACCTCGCCTCTTAGCTCTCCATAGTAAACAGATGCAAATCCGCCTTGACCAATCTTAGTAGCCAAATTAAAGTTATTTGTAGCGTTGGCAAGTTCCTCTAAAGAGAACTCCACTGATTTGTCCACGGTAATACCTGTAATCACAGAGGAAGCAACACCAACAAGAGGACCTGATTCTGTAGTTTTCTCCAAGGTATTTCCAGGATCTGCACACCATTGACACAGATGAATTATCAGCTAAACCAAAAGAGGGATAAGAGTCCCCCGCATATAGATTCTACAAACTCAAAAATTAAGATCACCAGAACAAGTAAATTATTCAGTTGGCTCTCAATACATTCTGTAAAGCCTTTTTACGTAAACAACAACTCAGATGCAGACATGTCTAAATCAAAATTACAAGGTCTACCATGGTTATCAATTGCTTCTCGGAGAAATGCTCCTTCCACTACTTTCTTCCTTCTGTAGAATTGAACATAGAAACAAACCGCCAAGAACAGAACCACAGCAACTACTGCAACAGTTACACCAGCTATGGCTCCACCTGATATTCCTGCTTAAAATGCCACTATACAGTAAGATTTAAGCAACATCAAGAAACATTTTGATATCAAGTTGACCTCAAGATTGAAACGTTGAAATGAGTAAGCACTGAATGAATAGGTAAAGAAGACGCCACCCACCATTTGAGCTGCATAAGAGAAACAAGGAAAATCAGATTTGGGGACCAGTCAAAAAATAATTCAAAAACTGAAGAGCACAATATGGTGTATAAGCTACCTTGATCTCAGTCGTGGATAAGTTCCATTTTGATCTGCATCAATGACAAAGATACATGAGCAAAAAATATGCAAAGCAAGTCCAAAGAAGTCAAATTGAGCAACAACAGAAAAAATTCCAAACCATCCCCTAATCTTTGAACTCAATATTTTTCCATCTTCCTGAGCAATTATTATCTGAGGCAATTTAAGCTAAGCAATCATCACTGGTCTTCTCATTATTTTATTGTAAATTAGATTGTCAATACGAATACCTCAGCTAAAATATTCTGCTAGATGGTTCCTTTCCCACTAATTTTCCGTGAAACTCAAGAAGTTTAGTAAAAGACGAAGAATTAGTTGCTTTAAGCTATCTGTGTCCAACTATACGCAAACTAATTAAATCTAAATATACCCCCATGTGGCCATCTTTAGGACTACTTGTCTGCCTCTCAAACCAATTTAAAGAGAAAGTGATTAATAAATGAAAAATACAATATGGATTCAGCTTTAATATACTGAAATATGTAGAGTACTACTAAAAGTTGATACCTTTAATGCAGAGAAAAAAAAAAAAAGGAATCACCTCTTCCAGGAATAAAAACCAAGCCACTCCCATTGCCAAAATTCACACCAGGGTTATAACTCTCCAACAACGGTTCAGGAAGCCGAAACTCATTGGCAATTGAACTCAAACTCTCACGAGGGCGAAGAGGATACGTTATGAATAATCCATAATCACTAGAGACCCGGCTATTTCCACACGAGCAATTCACAGTAACGTTTAATTGCGCATTATCCGGTATATTATTAGCAGGATAGGTGTTAAACTTCTCCATCATCTCAACGGTTGTGAGATTCGAATAACGAGTCTGTGCGATCAATTGGTAGAAGTCACCAGACCTGACCTGATAGACAAACTGATGACCCAGAAATTGTCCAAGAACACAACCACATGAGAAAGGAATATTCAATCTGGTGCCAGCAAGAATGAAATCTGTATTGGTAATATTATTGTAACTACTAATGATAGAGATATTGGTGGAAAAGTCTCGTGCTATGGATGAGAGATCTGTCCCATTTGGTACGTAATACGAAGCTAATGCGTTGCATTGGCCATCGCACTGAGATTCAACCCCAACCCAAAAGAAATCAATACCCAAAATCCTAATACCAATTCAGATCTTCTCTTCTTTTCCCCCACCATGATTTGATACTGAAAAACACCCTTGCAATGTTTGGAAACCTAACGGAGCAGAGGAACCCTGAAGAACCCAGATAAAGAATGCTTTGGAGAAGAAGAGTGACCTGTTTCTTGAGGTTGTGGCGTTGACTGGGTCAGTCTTAGCCCACCATTTTTTGGTTAAAAGTTAGGTAACCTGGAAAACGTTAGTTTTTTGGAGTTTTTTAATGTTTCTTGGAACCATGACCGGTGGGAAGATTCAACGGTCATTGTAGTCGTCTATTTCCGCTATTGTTAATTTACCGCCAAATTTGATGGACTTAATTCACGGGCCCAAAACTAATATCTTCCCCGGCCCATATAAATCCACAGCCCAAAATTTAGACCACACGGGCTTCCCTGCTGCATAATAGACCGAATCTCTTTCTTAGGCCCTGAACAGTGAATTAGGGACTATTTTGTGATGTAGCGGTGAAATAATTGCATTATTTTATCGTAAGCTAGTGTGTTCGTTTTCGAAATAATTGATGATGCGCAAATTAGTCTCATACAAGATCAATAATTGAGTATGTGAAAAAGTTTAATTAATGAACAATAAATAAGATAATCAATGGCAAAACAATAAATATGAGCAAACACACAAATGTATAGTAGTTTGGTCTGGGTGACTTACTCTACTCTCGAAAAACGGCAGCAGTGGCCGGAGGTCTTTATTAATGAATAAAGTAACCGGGAGAGAGCTCCGAGAGAGTTACACTAGTTATGAGAGAGAAGTTATGTGTGTAGGAATGATGTGTTAAAAGAGATGTCTTTCCATATGGAGAGAGCTTACAATATATAGATGTGATGAGGCGGTGACGTTAGTATGAGGGCACTACTTCTTCGGAGAGGATAGTTACAAAAGGTAAGTATAATTACTTCTTGTGTATCTATCCCAATGATTACTTTTCCTTGTGCTATTATCTTCTCAGACTCTTTGGATCTTAGACTGGATCGGATTGATAAAACAGACTTGAGCTGCCTTTTAGTTGATTTGGACTTGCTTGATTTATTGAACTTGACCTAATTAGATTTGGGCTCATAAGTAATCATTTTATACAAATAATAACAAAAGTTATGTTTTTGCTCAATTCATTTCTCCAAACACTCTTACTTAACACATACAAAACTCGGAAAAGATCTCAACAAATTTGTTACATTTTTGGTCTATCACTCGTGTCGGATAAGGTGAGTTCATGTCGAATTTTAACAAACTCATATCAAAAAGTATTCAACTTCATAGCTATCTGATTTGTCTATTAATTCAAATATAACAAATCGTGTCATATTGAATTCGTGCGTATATAAATCGTGCATAATTAATTAATATATAAATAAGACATGTCGTGTATTTATTTTGATTGACTTCACTCATACCCGATTCGTTTATTAATCATGTCGTGTCAGATTTACTCGTTTACGAAACAAGTGGCTTAAAAAAAAAAATCAAACTCTCTAATTTTGTATCATTTTAACAAATCATATTATATTTTCACACCCCTCCAATCCTACTACATGTTTGTCAAATTGATCTAATTTAGTGACTCTAGTAGATATGAGGCCACGATTGGCTTAGGGCGCTTGAATTCTATCGAAGTTAAGTTTTATTTTCTATTTGGTCAGCACTTCTTCGTTTAAATGAAATATTGACAATAATAATAAATTAATAATAATAATACTTACCCGAAAAAACCTATAATAATAATAACAATAATAAGAAGAAGAAACAAAAAAATTGATTGATAAATAATATTTTTGATAAAGATCATATTGTTATGGCTACGAAGGACTGTATTTATATATATATTTCTATATTTTTCCCAAAACAGTTAGAAGACTGCCACCCAACAGTTACATTTTTTTTTGTCGTTAGAAGCGATGAGTTTTAAATCGCTGGTCCTCTTTTTTTTTTTTTAGATGTCATGTTGATATTTAACCAATTATGGTACTGATTTTTTGCATGATTAGCAGGATCTTAAGCAGGGCTCCTCCATAAAAAAAGCATCGGACTATTGCTTATTGTGGATGATTAATTGACAATTAGTAGGATATTTCATTAGCTACAAACTGCCGCCTTGACCAGGCCAGCTAAAACTTCCGCGTCAATCAGAAGGAGACCAAACAAATCGTGGCCTTAACTACGTGCTCTCCTGGTATGGTAGTGGACAAATACTTGAAAAATACACTCACATGTACCACCAACGGTCAATGATTTTCTTTTTTAATAACATTTCTGACAAAAATCTCTCCGAGCCAATTCTAACGCAGAATAAATCTCAAATACCTATAATTATTAGCTAACTGCAGGTACTCCATACTAGTTGAATCTTAGTCACTAGTGAGAGTCGAACACGAACATTCGGGTTTTCCTCTGGTCAATCCCACACCACTGAACTATCATGGCGAATTGGAATGTCAATAAGTTTGGTTTAAAGGGTAAAACCTAAAATGCTTAGGCTCACCTGGAGTTGAGAAATTTTTTTAAAAGGCATTGATTGGTTGTAATCCAAAATTTTCTCTTAGGTTTCTTGCATGCAACTACTCACATTCAAACCTGTGCTCAAGCTGGGTGACAAAATATACTAACCTTTTGCCGGCACAAACACTAGGCCAGAGCCAGCATTAAAATTGGACCCCGGATTGAACCTCAGCAACAACTCCGCCGGAACACCTGACTTCGTCGCCACCGATGACAAGTTCTCATCCACCCGAAGAGGGTATGTTGCAAACAACCCATAATCCTTCGACACGTGTTTATCGCCGCACGAACAATTCACTGTTACGTTGATATGAGCAAAATCTGGCACCTGGGTTGGGTCATATGTATTCACCCTTTGGACCCAATACTCTGTGGTAAGGTTAGAAAAAGCCACTCTAGCAACCTTGTAATATGTATCACCAATCTCAGTTATGTACTTGAAGGTATGGCCTAAGAAATCACCGTTCAAGCATTCGCATGAGAATGGAATATTAACCCGTGTACCGCTTGCAACGCTGTCTTGATTTGGAACCTGGGGATTGTATCGAAGAATTTCCGGGATTGTTTGGCCGAAGATGTTGCTAATGTAAGTAAGGTTTGATCCTTCCCACACATAGTATGAAGCCATGGCAAGGTTGCAGCCACTTCGACACTTGGCTTCAGCCTTGAAACATAAGAAGAGAAGAACACAAAAGCCTGGCCCTAGAGAGAGTCTATTTCTCTTTGGGGATATGTTCATTTCACAGAGAGAGAGAGAGAGAGAGAGAGAGAGAAGTTATGATCTCATATGTCAAATGACAGAGGAAGAGTTGTTGAAGGCATATTTCATCTTTGACATATAGCAGCTTGTAATGAGTTGCTTGCTATCACATACATATATTATATTATTACCAACAGTGTATATAGAGAAAATTGCAGAATATAAAAGAGGGTAGGCCCATAAAATACATATGTATATCTTATACACGGGTACGGGTCATGGTCATATTTTGTCTTCATTTTCTATTTATGATTCGCTGAATTTTGAACTGGTCTACAGGCATTATGTTTCAATGTTCTTTTCTTTCAAGGCTGGCTGAAACATAACAACTTGGTCCTTGCCCTATAGGCCAACCGTGACTCTCCCAACTAGGATAACATATATTGAAACCTCGCAAAGCAAGTTTTCTCTCCTGCTCCTCTTTGAATGCTCGCATCGCATGTTCTCTCTTGCCCTTCTTTTGAGTGCTCTCTTCTATATCGGTACTGCATAGATTTATAATTGCTCGCAAGCTATATTTGTACCCCTTATGCAACATTATAATGTTTATTGTAGACTTTTGTATGGTACCAAAATAACTCAATATTTTTTTTTTGTTCAATGGTTAGGGTTTTTGGATTAAATTACACACACCTCGACTAATTCTCTTTCCTATTCGGTCAAAAATAAGTCATTCACATTGAGACTAAAAAATTCATGAGAGATAAATTTTTTATAACTTGAACTTGACAACCTTGGGGTTAAAAGAACTCGTTTTGAAACCGTAGTGTTACCCATGAACAGAAGCCCAATTAAAAAGCCTTTGACTGGCAAACGTGCACTTTAGCCCATTAGCACCGTTGCCAGGTACAAGCCAAAAAGTGCACTGTTTAGGTTGTGGTTTCTGGGAATCCCAAACAGGCCATGGACCAGAAGATATTTTAGTAAGAGACGAGAGATATTTTCATTCCCTCAAGTAGTGCAGACTCAAATCTTGATTTCTAGCCATTGACTAGACTATACAGAAGCAGCAAGAGTTCTATTATCCATGGATTCCTCCACAATTCTCCAACTTCCTCAGCTCTTCTCTATTCTGCCAAAACCCCAGAGAGTAAGCAGAGCTTATCCTTTTAAGCCATGGAAGAAAAGGACTTCCCAGCCCACTCGTTTCCAATGCCAAAAGATGTACGTCCCTGGTGGGTAACTCACACCTTCTGTCTTTACAAATATTTGCTTATATCTATATTATAATACACACACACACACACATACATATGAATACATAAATATGTGTGTGTATAAATATTTATACGTGTGTGTGTGCAGGACTTATGCTAATTTGTTTGTTGCAGGATTTGGAGAAGCATCTCCAGAGGCCAAAGCAAGCAACAACCTCCACAATTTCTTCACATACATTGCTGTTAGTATTGTCACAGCTCAGCTTCAGGTTTCTCCTCTCCTTATTCTTCTCTGCATGGATGCAATTCGGTATGCTTGTACGAATGGAGAACTAAATTTCAGTTCAAAATGATCGAAATGTTTCCATTCCAACAGAAACTGAAGCGAACGAGTGATCAAATATCAAAATTTTTGTTTTTCGAGGTGTCTCCATTCTTTTTTCTTGTATGTTTCAGAAGGTCTCTCAAACAAACTTTCAAATTCTTTTTCTTTATTTTCACCTCATTTACAGAATGTCTTCATTTCCGAGCTGATGAAAATCATGCACCAAAAGGAAATTTCGAAACTTGATTATATGCAGTTATTTCATCTTGATTCTGGTTTTGCATCATGTCTCCATTAAGGACTTGACACCATCCTCTCGTACTCAAAAGTAGTTAGCTGTAGACTAATGCTTGGAACTAAGGTTTTCTAGAAACTGATTATAGCAGGAATAAGTCTAATTGTTGGGTGTATAAAGTGCATCTGGATGGCTGTAGCTGTTAATGGTTTTTTGACAGAGCAGAGCTATAACCCTGAGGCATATGAGGAACTGATGGAATTCTTGGGTAGACACTCTTTGAATGATGGGGATAAGTTTTGTGCCGACTTGATGCGAGAATCTTCGCGGCATAAAACTCTAGGTACGCTAGCAACATTTTTTCTATATTTATTGTAAGAAATTTTCTTTGGAAAGTGTGTCTGTTCTGATGAGAAATCCAAACCACAGGTTTTCACCTGTGTAGTTATAATTGTGTGAGTGAAACTTATTCAGGCTGTCTTGCTAGAAACCTTAGGTATGTAATGCTTAGAAGATTGGGGAATAAAGTGAGAATCAGGTCAAACTCTAGGAGATGAAAGAGCAATTAAACCTATTACATAAGAGTTAACATGGCAATTTAGTGTTTCTTATGCCTGTTGATGTTTGATTTTAAAAGTTAGATATTGAAATTCTGACTTTGAGAATGTGCTCTTGTTTGAATTTGTGGCAATTACTGTATGGTATATGACTCCCGCTTTGCAGCCTTGCGCATATTAGAGGTCAGTCTATTCTTTCTTATAAAACCAAGGGTTGTGTTGTTCTGTTTAGTTTTTGAATTTTCACATCTGCTGATAAAATAATATGGTATCTTTCATCTAGGTTCGATCTGCATATTGCAAGAATGATTTTGAGTGGGACAATCTAAAGCGGTTATCATTTAAGGTCGGGCATTCATTTTTGTATGTTTTTAATTCTTCTTCTAGTTCATCTGTTGCTCTCTCATTATTTCAGTTGTATGTGTTTTTTATATTTGCAGATGGTAGATGAATCTAACACAAGACTTATGAGGGATTATGTCTTAGAAACTAGTCATGAGGAAAGAGAAAAGTGATCTTTGCGACATTCTTGTGTGATGTAAAATATTTGATTTAGTGATTTGTAGAACTCACAACAAAATTACTTAATAGCGTATACCTCTCAATTTTAATGCATCATCTGATGAATGTGCTCCTGGTGAATTAAGACTTTCTGTTTACTTTCTTAATCACTAGATACAACAATCTAGCATAAGTATATAGTTCATACACTTAAACATTACCCCACTTGCCCAAAAAATATAAATGAAATATAAAAAATTAATTACAGAAATCATTGGATTATGCAGATTATACCTGTTGTGCAGGAAACCATCACACTCCATTTTTATCCCATAACCTCCTAATCCATATTTTCTTCATGTTGCTTCTGTACCTGCCAAAGTTAAAATCAGAAATAATGTACTAGAGAAGGAAAGCTGTATCTGTGTGTGTATGTCTGAGAGAGAGAGAGAGAGAGTCTTGATGGATGTATCTGGAAAAAACAAACTCATCCGCCAAACCATGCAAAATCATATACATCTACAACCAACATATTACCTCAACATTGTCACGGACCTCGGAGGAAGCTTGGATATGCCCTTTGCTGAAATATGACTGCGCATTTTCTTCAATATTTTCCAGCCTGCATATATTGTTTAAAATGTTTTATGTTGTTCTAGCCCCGAAGTGCTAATACATAAACTACAATGACATTAGATACCACAAAGTAATTGTGTCGCTTCCAAATGATGAGAAAAAAATAAGACAGCACACCCCAGAGGAGGTGAGCGAAAATACAGGATGTAATAGTCTAACTTCATGGAACATAAAGTACAACCACCAATTGAAGCTTCGTATTTAAAGAACCGGCCTTTTCAGCTGGAAGCTGTCAATTACGGCCAAAACCACTTGATGAGTACAAATGTGTTGCAATGCTGATGCCTTGTGTTCTTAGCTGAGATTATACTTTTTTTTTTTTTGATCAATAGTTGAGATTATACTTGAAACCAAACAAGATTGTTATGGACAAAAAACTTACTTATAGATGTAGTTTACCATAATTCCTGCACTTTGACTAAGGCCCTTTTCTGATCGATCTGCCATCCAGTTAAGTCTTCCAACCATCTAAACGAACAAAGTAAGACACATTTTGGTTATAAAGTAACGCAGGATCTCCTATCATCTTGATTTAACACCCCTGGCTGTCCCTTCTCCCCCCAAACAAAACAAAAAGTGAAGGACATTCCATTTGGATATCAAAAAGGATGGCCTAAAAGAAGATGAAACTTCATGCAATTAGACTAATAACAACTCGGGAAACTCTAACCAAAAGGCAGCAAATTTTCGAAAGTCTGCTAAGTAGCTCTTAGTAGGACCACATAAAATGGGGTTTCTTTCTTTCTCCCTTCATTTATTTTTCTTCTTTCCTAGTTAACCTCAGAAAGATGCGACCAATATCTGACATAACAGCCAGATGATGAATCAATTCCTATTTGCTAAACATATTTCCATCCCAACCTTCATAAAGAAATTACACGATATAGGTTAGTTACAGCCGGCAAGAGGCTGGATGCCATCAGCAAGAAGGAACTAATAAAATGATATACAAATCATGGTTTGCTTGACATACGGCTCCATTCTGTAGGTGGAAATTTGCAACTGAATCTAGGGCCTTTCCTCTCTTCTTCTCTTGCAGAAGGTACCTGGAGTGGAAAACCAGAAGCGTAGAACCAAAAATAAACTGAAGCATCAATTAACAGCTGATAATATCAAAGCATATCCAATCAACCGCCAGTTTAGACGTTTATCTTATATTTGACAATTCACGTGATCATTTAGAGTCATAGATATTTTTCTGTAAATCATTCACTGCGAACGAGTATAAAGACCCATTAAACTGTGGTAGTTCCCTTAATGGAGGGTGTCAAGAGGGATAGACTACATACAAACCTCACCTTCAGCCTTTTTTACACAAAGTGACTTTCCTCCATATCCTCGAATTGAAAACCACACGCTTGACAGTATGAGAATTTACCATTGCATCCAGCAACTCTCTTCTTCCAATTATAAGGAAAGCTAACTAATTTGGTCAGGGATAGCTTCTATCATCAAGGGTAGTATCTTCCTAGCAAGCCACCTCTATTATCTGTACATACCTGGTGCACAGCCGCAACAAAGGAGTTTTCAATACTGATATCAACCGTGCGGCATTAGTCCACTCATACTTGTTTGATGTCAACAATTTGCACATCACCTCCATTCCACTTTTCTCAGTAGTGAATTCACTGCAACAGAAAATTGTATCATAAACAGAAGAAATATGTGGTAAACGAAAAAATTCAAGGGGAATGAGGAAGACAAACAACACTCATATTACAAAACACATAAAAAAGCAGATGATCCGTAACCACTCTTGAAAAAGCTTGGTCAATAGGAAATATTTTATTCCTGGAATCTATACTTCTACTTGTTCCCAGAGCCACAAAAAGAAGGAAAAATTAAAAGGAGAAAAAATGGTGTCAACAAACAAACTTCAAAGCAGGATGGGTGGGGAGAAAATCTCCTTGTAATGTTTCTTGGGAGATAATCTATCCTTAGAGAAAGTCCTATATAGATTATCATCCAAAACCTCCCACTAAACTGCCTAGACAATGAAGATGTCAACACGAATGTAAGGAACATAGACGATAGAACAATATGATTTGGGTCAGCAGAGCTTTTCAACTTCCTAAATATTTGATGCCTTATAACAAAGAAGTGTGGAGAGTAATGGTAACTTCATGATTGTATTGAAATTAAATAAAAAGATGGAGTGAATCCTGAGCTAGACCTTGTAGGGGACTGAAAGATGGATGACCTGAATCACCCTGAAATTGGTACCATTCATCCTGGTTGGTCCAAGAGGATCCAAGAAGCCAAAAAGCTACAGGACTTCACAATGCCAGAATTTCAAAAAAAAAAAAAAAAATTTGTTGTTTTCTCAGGAGGATTTCAGAAAAACCCAGCAAAATTACTCCTCGTTGTTTTCAGAAAATGTGAAGTGCATATACTTCAGTTCCTTGTTCCATTAGACCATAGAATATATTCAAAGTAAACAAATAGTTTTCCTAGGAATTTAAAGTCGTCAAATAAATTATCCCTTGTGTTTTGAAGATGACTGATGATGCCAACCAAGTTTTAGTCACTTGATTTTGTAAATGGACATGAGCCTTCAGATATAATGGAAAAGATAATAAAAGGCATACTGAAGGTTCCATACATCCTCCTTCCCGCCAGACGATGGAAAGGGGTGAGGGGGTTGTGAGTACTCTGAAACCTTTATTTTATTTTTTTTGGCCATGGGGTTGTAATGGGAAGAGCTACTTCAATACTAGTATATATGCTCCCTCCTCAACTTATGTAATAAAACAACATGAATGTAAAGCTTACACTGATGCATCTAATAACGTCCTTTCTTCATCTGGTTCAAGCAAGTTCTCCCGGAAGGTGGAACCAGATCTCTCTGCTGATGCCAACTTAGATAAAAGCCATTGCATATACCCGGGAATAGGGCTAAGTGTTGCAAATGTCTATTGGGATACATTACAGAATAGTATCAGCAAAAAAGACCAAAAGCACAGCTAAGACAATCAAATAAGTAAACATGTAAATGGAGAAGACATGCTGAGATCAAACATATTTTGAGTATTTATTCTTTATTGCGCCATTTTACTGCACATGAACAGTATATTGTTGGTATCTGATGGAACACGCCTAATATATCACCTTTACAGTGGGGATTATATTTGGCAGCACTAATATGGTGCGTTTATGCAGCTACCAATACATCATATGCTTGCAAAAATGTAAAGCCAAAATCTATATTTACATAAGTGTGTGCCCAACAAAATTGTATATGCTGGGAGTAATGTTGTTACCTTACCAAATATCACAGGCAAATACTTTGAAGGGAGAAGAAAGCTACCTCAAAGGCAACATAAACTGCTAAATACTTTCAAAGGTTATCCCAACCATTCTTTCCATAACAAGCAGAGTTTTATTCCTTGGCTTCTTCGTCCTTCAGGGTGAATGAGTGGGGGTGTGAATCTAATACTTCCTAAAAATTTTATTTAAATTGTTCTGTGAAGAAAACAATTGTATTACCAACCCTTTTGTTAAATTTGAATATAAAAGTACGGAAAGCTATGAAACCATATATGAACATTGGGAAAAGGATTGTGCTTTATTGGAAATTAAAGTCACAGAGCTAGGGAAATGTATCACCTTGGCTCAGGATTCCTCAAGAAAAAATTTACATGCTTTAAAAGAAAAAAGAAACTAAATTCACAATAAGACATATTCAGATGTGTTTTGTGGCTCTTTAAAATTTTAATGCATTTATTGAGAACAGAGTACATACACAAATATTTGGCATATCTTTTTTCACCAGATCAACCACACGTTTAATCAGGAACTTTCCAAGGTTGATTCCTGCTAAGCCAGGCTGTCATATTCCAAAGTATGCGTATTAGACACATAGAAGAATATCACCATACATTTACAGATCAAATCTAAACATTGATGATTTAACACCAGACACAGAAGTATGCCAATCAAAGGCAAAAATATGGCCTATTTAAATCCAACACCAACCAAGCAAAAGATAGATATTCTAAAAGAAAAAAATAAACAGCCACTCTCCTTAGACATGCCATGAACTAAAAAATATTTCCTTACCAATTAATAAATTGGCTCTCTTGTTTTTCCTAATAATATGATTGTATTGATTAAGCTGTTTAAGAAAAATCTCATTTTCTTTTAACAGCATATAATAGGACACTCAGCATCTTCAAGTTGAAGATCTGACTACTGAAAATTAAAAATAACAAAAAGAAGGCACAGAGGGTATTATCAAAGTATTTGAGCAGACACTGGATGCATGAGAGGAAGAGTGATACACTCTCATTACTTTGTCATAATGAACATCACGCAAATGGCCCTACTTCTTGATTGTCCAAACAAAGATCAATTGCAATTTCTAGATCATGTATGACAACAACCAATGCTCCCTTTCATGTATTTGCAGACTGATTTATAATATTAGCTGTTGGAGATATAGCAGCAGATTAGTTTCTTAGGGTTTTATTAAGTTTTCTTTTTTACCTTTTTGTCCTTATTGTAACTCTCATTGACTATATATAAGGGGGCTCTACACTTAGTTTGTATCCCTTTTACTTACATCTATCACAAGTTGGTATCAGAGCCACAACTCTAACCCTAACTCTAACCCTAGCTCCTAGTCCACGTTGCAGCCACCAGCCACCACACTGCCCCCATCAAACCCATCAGCAAAACTCAGACCAGCTGCCCATCACCGACTCAATCACCGACAACCATCACCGACAAACCCAACGACAGACCACCACCATCACAACCGTACTTCTGCTGCCCAAACCAGACCACCATCACCGACTTAATCAACGACAGCCATACAAACCAAGCAGATAGCACCGACTGCCCCTTCATTATAACAGCGAACAACATACTGCCATAAAGCATATTGCAGCATACTCCACCAGCCCCACCGACTGCCCATAACACATACACCATCAAGCCTAGCCAACCAAACCAAAGGTACCCAAAGCCGATTGCACCCAATCTCACTGACAGCCAACACAAATCCAATACACCAACAGCAACGCCGCTGCCCAAATATAAAAAAAAAAACAGTCCAGACTCAGACCTAATAAACCCAGACCAGCTCACTGCTGTCCAGCCTAATTCTGTTCAACCCACTGTCGGTCGCGTTTTTTTGTTGTAGCTTCGTTCTTTGCACTCTTTGTCACAATGTTGTCAAGTTATAGGATCGTCGGACTTTTTAAGAGGAGTTGAATTCTCTTCTCCGTTGATATGCACTTGATGCAGTAGATCATTTATTTATATTTACCAAATTTCTGGGCACCGTGACTTGATTATTTGGGAGCTTTCTGGACCTTCTCTATCTGTCGCTACTGTTTGACTGGAGGTATATTGTTCTCCCCTATTTTATCCCTCTATTTATCTTAGAGTTATTTTTCTGTCATGAGTGCTCTAGTATTATTGTTGATATGACTACTACTAAGGGACTTGAGACCCCTACTGTTGACACCTCTACCGTTGAGACATCTATGGGTACTTCCACTTTTATGTTTGACCAGTATACAGTACCTACTAGCACAGTTGCATTACCAGCACTACCGGACATGATCTCTCAGAAAGTTACGGCACAGTTGTTGAATGGTCATAACTTCACTGAGTGGTCTCGCTCATTCCAGCTTTTCTTAGGCCGTGCAGGGAAGCTTGGTTGACTGACGAGATCTCACCCAAAGCCAGCTGATGCCGACCCTGAATATTCTGCATGGTTCTCTGAGAACTGCGCCATTCTTGGATGGTTATTTGACTCGATGGAGCCATCTGTTTGTAGGATCTACCAATTTCATAGCTTTGTTCCAAAGCTATGGAGCGCATTATTAGAGATGTATTCTCAATTAGGACGGGGAGTCTGTGTTTATGAGCTTTCTCATGAGCTCTTATATGCTCGGCAAGGAGATATAACCGTTCAGGATTATTATGGCTATTTGCCCAGTGCTGGCTTGAGTATGAGACTCTACGTTCTCTTGCTGCTATTCCGAGGATAGAGCCCGAGGGAGCAGCATTCTTGCATACTCGAGAACAGGAGGATAGGATTCACAAGTTCCTTATGGGGCTTCGAGATGAGTTTGAGGGACCTTGTTCTCAGATCTTGTCGATGTTGACACTTCTTTCTTTTTATGAGGTATATGGGATGATTGAGTAACATGAGCGCCGAGTCCGTATTGCATCACTTCCAGGTGCGGCTTTGACTCCTTCGGCTGACTAGATGGCCCTTGCAGCTGCTGCAAGGTCTCGTTCAAGATCCTCAATCAAGGGTGGGCAGCGCTCAGACCAGCGCCGTCAGGGTGCCCCAGATCAGCGCAGACAGGGAAATTCTCATCAACGTGATTATTGTGGCCGACCAGGACATCTCAGGGCTACTTGCTAGAAGCTCCATCCAGAGCTTAAGTCGCCTCCTCGCAGCCGTACTATTGCTATTGCTGAGGTACCACTACCCACTACCACTACTCCTGCTGCTGTTCCTCCTTGGCAGAGTGATATGGATGTCATCACTTCACGATTAGATATACTTATGTCTGCTTTGACTTCTCAGAGTCCGACTACTGCTGTTGCCACCACTACAGGTATACCTCGTGCCTTTCATACTTATGCCAGTTCATCTCCCCTTTGGATGTTGGACTCGGGTGCGAATGGTCACATGACAGGTAAGGCCCATCACTTCACCACTTTTGACGAGCAGTTACATACACAGGAGCAGTTAGCAGATGGGACACATGCCTCTATTGTTAGTAGGGGTACGGTCCACCTCCTAGATGGCTTTACATTAAGTTCGATTTTTCATGCGCCAAAGTTGGCCATGAATCTATTATTTGTACATCAGTTAGCCAGAGATTTTTACTGTGCAGTTGTATTCTTATCTGATTCATGTTATTTACTGGACTTGAGTACCAAGAGGATTATTATCAGGGGACATGAGAAAGATGGACTGTATTATCTTGGCAATCCACCTCCAGTTTCACCAATTCCTTCACCTACATCACCTGCACCTGCTTTGTCTTTATCTGTTCCTAGCTTGTATGCTAGTTTTTTACCTAGTAGTTGTCATTATGATTTTTCGTCACAAACTATTCAGTTGTGGTATGACCGTTTTGGATATACAAATTTTAAATATTTATGTATGTTGTTTCCTGCTTTAAGCAATGCTTGTATTGGTGGTAAACTTGACTGTGTTATATGTTCCCTATCAAAACATGTTAGGATCAATTATATTCTTCGCATGCACCAGTCACCCAAGCCATTTGACCTAATACACTCTGATATTTGGAGATCCTCTCCCGTTACTGCTCTGTCAGGTGCCCAATACTATGTGACATTTATAGATGACTATACCCGTTATACTTGGGTCTACCTTTTGCATCGAAAGTTTGATGTACTCCCTATAATCACTCAATTTTTACAGATAATTAAGACACAATTTGATGTTATTGTTCATGCTCTTCATTCGGATAATGCCAAAGAATATGTGTCTGATGCCTTAGTGTCTCACCTTTCTTCTCAGGGTATTCTTCAGCAACTCACTTGTCTATATACTCCTGAGCAAAATAGTATTGCTGAAAGAAAAAATAGGAGTTTGATAGGAATGGTACGTTGTATGCTTAGAGGCATGAGAGTACCAAAATTTTATTGGTATTTTACTGTTTTATCTTCTACCTTTCTGTGCAATCGTATGCTGAGTCATGTTCTTCAACATAAGACTCCCTTACAGGTCTTATTTCCTGAGCGGACACTTTTTTCGGTCCCCCTCGTGTTTTTAGATGCACATGTTTTGTTCAGGATCGGTCTCCTACTCATCATAAACTTGATGATAAAGCGATTCATTGTATCTTTGTGGACTATTGTCATCAATCTAAGGGGTATCGGTGTTATGATCTTATTAGACGCCGTATGTATCATAGTCTAGTATTATCTTTTTTGAGCATATTCCTTATTTTCCTTCCAATCCTGTGTCTGCCCCTTCAGTTTGTGATACTCCCTTTGATTTTCCATTACCACAAGAGCCAGAGTCATTGGTCACTATCCCTACAGGGTCATCCGTCTCTTCTCCTCCAGAGCCACTCATCCTTGTTAGTACAGAGTCACTCTCTTCCTTTGCAGGTGTGTTTGTCGCCCTTGTTCTCATCACCGTGCTAGTGTCCCCTCTACCTCAGGCGATGCAGATAATACTTCTCAGTTTGTTGAGCATATTAATGCACCTGTTGTTAGTACTGATGAGTTTGCAAGTGTTGAGCCAGTTCCTTTACCTAATGAGACATTATTAGTGAAGGATGATGATTTAGGGCGTCGTTATCCGTGGCGTGATCGCCGTTTAGTTGATCCTTATAGTTGGACCGTCAGGATTTTATATCCGATCTCTGCTTATATTTCTTATGGTGATTTGTCTCCTACATTTCGAGTTTATAGTATGGCCTTATCAGATACGCCAGTTCCTCGCTCTGTTTCGGAGGCTATGCGGGAGCCCTAATGGGTTTTTGCCATGCAGACAGAGATGGAAGCTCTTCAACGTAATCATACATGGGATCTTGTCTCTTTACCTTCAGGAGTGAAACTTGTTGGTTGTCGCTGGGTTTACACCCTGAAGTTTCTTGCAGATAGTACTATTGATCGTCACAAGGTTAGGCTTGTGGCGAAAGGCTTTACTCAGGTACCGGGTCGTAATTTTGGTGCTACATTTGCCCCCGTGGCAAAATTGACTACTGTTCGGTTGATTATTTCTCTGGCTGCGAAGTACTCTTAGCCTCTTCATCAGTTAGATGTGAAAAATGCGTTTTTCTTCACGGTGATCTGGACGAGATTATTTATATGGATGCACCACCAGGCTTTCGTGGTGAGGGGGAATATGCTGAAAAGATATGTCAACTGTGTAAGTCTCTTTATGGACTGAAACAGTCACCACAAGCCTGGTTCTCTCGCTTTAGTGATGTAGTCGTATGTTTGAGGTTCACCAGATGTCATTCTGATCATAACTGCTTTATTCGACGGAATACTTCTGGATAGTGTGTAATCCTTCTGGTATATGTTGATGATATTATTATTACTGGTGATGATATTTCTGGGACTGCGCAGGTCAAGGTAGACCTTGGGAAGGACTTCGATGTGAAGGATCTTGGATTTCTGCGATACTTTCTTAGGATTGAGGTTGCCCGTAGCGGCAGGAGGTTTGTTCTTTCTCAGAGAAAGTATGTTCTGGATCTTTGTTAGTGTGCAAACCGGCATCATCACCCATGATTCCAAACCTGAAACTTACTGCTAAAGGTGAGGAGTTGAGAAATCCGACAGTTTATCAAAGGTTGGTAGGTAGACTTATCTATTTAGTCAATACTAGGCCGGACATTTCATTCGCAGTCAGCCAATTTAGTCAGTTCATGCACAGGTCGTGTTAGCCTCATCTTAATACAGTTTATCATATTTTTCGATACCTCAAGTCTTGTCCTGGACTTGGGTTGTTCTATACATCAGGATCTCAAACTGATTCTCTAGCCTGTTATTCAGATTCAAATTATGGGGGAGCATGTGATGGTCGATCTACTACGGGCTTCTGTGCTTTTTGAGGGACTCATCTTATCTCTTGGAAGAGCAAGAAACAGACAGTTGTCTCCCGCTCGTCAGCAGAGGCAGAGTATCGGGCACTGGCACTTGGCACTTGGCACGTGTGAGATTATCTGGCTACAATCAATCCTTGGCGAGTTGGAATTTTCAGTGACTTCTCCATCCACATTATATTGTGATAAACGATCTGCTATTCAACTCGCTTCTGACTCTATACTGCATGAGAGAACGAAGCATATAGAGATTGATGTTCACTTTCTTTGGGAGAAGGTTAGCAGTAGTATTGTCACTCCATCGTTTGTGGGGACCAGTGATCAGGTTACAAATATTTTTACCAAACCTATCACTCTATCTATTCTTCGGGACTTTGTTGTCAAACTTGACTTAGTTAACATTTTTGTGCTTAGCTTGAGGGAGAGTGTTGGAGATATAGCAGCAGACTAGTTTATTAGAGTTTTATTAAATTTTCCTTTTTACCTTTTTGTCCTTATTGTAACTCTCATTGACTATATATACGGAGACTCTACACTTAGTTTGTATCCCTTTTACTTACATCTATCACAAGTTTAGCCATTATACACAAATGCGAAAGAAAACCATTCTTACCTGAGTCGACGATATAGAGTAAAACAATGCGCAGGTTGCCTCACATTCAGGTATTGGAGGATCATCCCATAGAACTTCCTGGTTAGAAGTGAGTATAATTGTTATGATCCCTTGTTAGTGACATCCAATGAGGTAAACTTTATGTTTTCACCTGTATTGTCTGAGCCACATTCTTCAATAGGGCAACTTCAATAAAGATAAGTGGTTCACCTGAAGTATTTTAGACTCGATTAACTCATAGAAAACACCACAAGAATGCTAACAAATGCAACTATAAAAAAAGTTTATTATTCAATTCCTCTACCTAAAGGCTATCATTTATCAACAATAGTCACTACTCTCAAGCGTAGCAAGTACAACACAGATATTTGAATTATCAACCAAGGTTTTTAGAAGCTTTTAAGGTTGTGGGTTTGAATATAGAGGAAGACACTTTGTGCATATAATGCCAAAGGTTAGGTTTGTATCAAGTCCACCCGTCCTAGCAGTATCGGTTATTGGAGATCGGACTTGTTTGGGTCTAATAATTTCTTGATCATGTCATAGATTCATGCTATGCCTCAATAATGCAGCTTAGATGCATTTTCAATCCCAACTCAATGTTTAGATCAACCATGACAAATATACACATCAAAGGAGCATGATGCTGCTTATTAAAATCATCAGAGTAACCAAGTGAATATATCCAATAATAATTGACATGTATTTATAAGTCATGATAAGGTTGTGAATTTTGGTAACCACTCTTTCAGAAATAATATTGACACTAGCTTAAGTCACCCCAAAAATTGGGGAATACAAATTAAATTCCAGAATAAATTCAGGAGAAATAAGAAACTTCCACTGTTATGGAAAGGGTAACAACAGCACACCGAAAACCACCAATGTCCACATTAGGCAATAAAGGAATTGCTAACCCGGTATTGCCGGATGTAAATATCCAAAACAACGACGACCTACTCCCAGCCTTCTTTTTAGATCTATAAGACTGCTGATCGGATGGACAGCCTGCATGCAAGATGATCATCAAATATGATGTATACCTCCTTATATGACCGCATGAAAAGTTGACCAGATAGAGAAGGGTACCTCAAATGCCACAATTTTCTCCAGCAAAGAAGCAGGATCATCCCATGTAATGTGATGAAGTTCTAGATTAGCAGGACTAAGCCATGTTATAAGTTTCTCTTTCAAGTAGGAGTCTAATGCTCTTAAAGATGCAATGTTTTGCTCCCTGCATATTAGTATCGGAATCAGGTCATCAAAACTCTCAAATTCCCTGGTATGTTGGTCCTTTTAACCCTTTTTTTCTGTAACCACTATTATTTTACAAGGCATTAAATACCCAACACAATTATTTAGAGGGCAATCAAAAAATAATTGCAAACAAGGGTTAACAAGTTTCAAAATTGTTTAACGAGTTTAAACATGTTGAACAATCATGGAAGTCCCACATATCATAGTTGCAAATCACTTAGATCTGTCACCTGCACTACTAGGATCTCAATGAAGCAAGAACATAACTATTACAAGACAACACAAATCAAAATCCTCTAATGTGGGGGCATGACCTTACACGAGAATAGATAGGATATCAGCTCGAATAATGGACAAGAACTTCAACCCTCCAGTGTGAGTGTTGAGCCGTTCAAATAAAATTTCATACATTGGCTTGAGAGCATGTCTCAAATTCCGCTCAATTCTATAGAAAGCGGAAAGCGAGCCTTCTTCTTGATCATTATCTTGAGCTTTGTCACCTACAATCATATGCTTTCATGAACAAAATCACTTAAGAAAATATAGAATTCAAATGCCGCCACCACAAACTCACCAGTAGGAAGATCAAGACCGAGATATTGCTTCATCAGTTCATGAACTTGAGTCCTACTGAGGTCATACTCTCTAGAAAGTATAAGGAGTAATTTTCTGCGGTCTTCTTGTGAGAGAGTAAAATAGCCCTACATTATCAATACATTATCCTACTGTTACGTTGAATTAAAGCACTAAAATTAAAAATACCTACACATAAATATGAATTCTACCTCTGAGAAATCATTTAGTACAGCATCTACAATTTCCGTTTTATTCATCGATATGGCCAAGCGCATCGACTCTTGTACTTGCTCAAATTCTCTGAAAGTAATAGAAGTAGAAAAACATTAAATTTTCTTAGATTGCGAATAAAATATTTATTTCAACGGAAATTAAGGTAAATTATTGAAACGCAGAAAAGAAAGTAACGCTGTGTCTGGGAGCAAGGAATAAGGGCAATGGAATTGGAATTGGAGAAAAGTTAGTTTAACCATTGAACTAATACGATCTTCAATTCCAATTGCAGAGCTTGGATTTCATGCTGCCAAACGCAGCATATATTCAAAAAGGTACCCTAAGATGCACACACACCTCTCCGTATTGTTGGAGGCATTTTGATCAGGTACTCTGTTTCCGTCCTGCAGAGCAATTTGCATTTGATTAAACTTGTTCTGTCATAAAAAAAAATTCACAATCAATTATATAAATTTCACTGAAATAACACTGTCAATACACTTAAATTTGACTGGTAAATTGAAAAATACAAAAGAATTTACAATTTCGAATCAATTGTCACAGAGAGAGAGAGAGAGAGAGAGAGAGTTGTGGAGAATCAGACTTACGGAGCTGGCTGGGGAACGAGGTCTCATTTTGGTTCGCATCAAAATGGCAAGACCTTTCTTATTCATGCTCGCGAAAGCGCCACCCTTAAATGAATTGAATGATGATTGGCTGAGCTCTCAATTCTTCTGTTTTATATATCCCTCTCTCTTTCTTCGCCGAATAACTGCCTGTTCGCCGGATTGCTTCATCACCGGCCCACCACAAGTGTCCAACTGTAGCTCGTTCTCCGCCTAGCTTTTAACGTCAGCTTTTGACCAAACTTATGTACGGCGCCGTCTCTTGGATTCCAAATCCTCCACCTCTAATTTTTTATTTTTTTGGGTGACAGAGGAAAAAATTGAGTGCATATTACAATTCAAATATTAAAAATAAGTAAAATAAATTTTATTTTTCGTGATTAACATCTCTTTAATTTTATTTTAAAATTAATTTGATTATTAATATTAATATATCAGATTTAATAGAGAAAATAGACCCATAAAAATATATTTATGATGACTTTTTTAAAGTGTTTTTAAGACTTATAATTTATTATAACTACTTTAAACAAAAAAATTAGTATTTGAAATCGTTCCACCACCACTGTCCCACCATCATCAATATTACCATCACCGCCACCACCCCACAACACAACTACCCCAGCCACCACCACTGCCAACCCACCACTATCTCTGTCATAATAACCACCACCGCCATTATTATCGCCTCTTCCACAATAATCACCATCGCCCCGACATCACCCCCGTCGATATCACCACCACTATTGACACCCCACCACCACCATCACTCCCACCGTCTCACCACCATCATTCCTACCACTACATCATCACCGTTGTTGTCACCATACAACCATTGTTGTCATCTCACAATCACTCTTACCACAACCACCTTCATAGCCCCACGACCATCACCGTTATCGCCGCTGCTGCCACTACTCCACTGCCGCCACTCACCATCATCGTTATCTCATTCTTATATTTATTACCACTACCATCATCATCTCACTACTATCATCGCCATCCACCACCAACATATTGTTGTCCACCACCACCTGTCGTCAACAGCCACTATCACCCACCCCCACCACACCTACCACCACCCCCTTCATCGACCACAATTGCTGCCACCCACTGTCACCCATCCCACCATACGTACCACCACCACCATTCGTTGCCACCTATTATACTGTCGCCCAGAAGTATCCATCGTTGCCCACCACCTCCGCCATCAACACGCTCACCACCACGACTAGTAACAATCATCATCGTTGCCCACCATTACCACCGCCGTCACTCATGACTGTCACTACTACCACAGTCATTGCCACCCACCACTATCGTTCATTATCTCTCACCCCACTACGATCAGTGCTTAAGTTTATTTATCTCTCATTTATGTTTGTGATTTGATTTTGGATGTGAATACCAATATATTTGTTGTTGACCCTTTTTTATTATTTTGTGTCTTCAAATACAAGTAATAACTAGTATTTTAATATTTTATATCACATAACTTATTTATTTATATGATTTTAAAAACAGTTCTACAGAACATATAAAGTAATGAAAACATTTTTTTTGTGTTCCCTAAAATCAAGTTTTTTTTTTTCAAAAATTATTCTAAAAAATAAATGACCAAACATTTTAAAGATAACAATCCAAAACCAATTCCAATTTTACTTTGGGAAATTTCACGGGTTGATGTAGATATGTTGAAAAAAAAGGGTGGGCCTTTGAAAAACCATAGTTTAATTAAAATTTGTTATGTGCAATGTTAGAGAAATGGGAGTTTTTAATGAAAATATGAAAACGTTTTCCACAGATCTTGTAACTTGGCCCAAATTAAAATTAAAATAATCTAATGATAAAGATATAATTATAAAAGAGTTGACTTTTGAATCATATTAGATATTAGCAATTAACTTAATCGTCAATAAAAATATTCAAGACATAAGGCTCTATTTATAGCGAGATCCGCAGAATTATATAATAAATAATTGTATCTCTATTTTATTTTATTTTTATAATAAGTAAATTTTGAAAATAAACGTTATTTGATTAAAAAAAAGGCATTGAACATGGCTCTTGATCCTACCTCAAACATTGAACTCAATCATTGCACAACATAATTCCAATAATTTTCTATATTTTGCATTTGTTTGATAGTGTAAATAAAATTAAGAGCTTGGTTGGTATTTTTCAATTTTTTAAGTGCTTAATTAAATGCAATTTATATCGGTAGGGTAGACGATAAAATAAAATGAATTATATTTTTTTTTTTGAACCAGTTGGATATTACCCAAAGTTTTCTTACACGTCGCCGAATGTGATCTGAGTTTTATTTCATGGGATAAATTTTACTTAATACTAGGGGGTGTCAAAGGTATCGAGTTAGGTCATTTTATGTCGAGTTAATTTTGAGTTTATGTCGAAAATTTTATAATTCAAACTTGACATGTTTAATAATCGTGTCGAGATGTCTAAACACTAACCTACTCAAACTCGATTTGTTTGACACGTTTAATAAACAGGTCGTTTTTGGATTACCACACATAATAAGATCTGTTTGACTGTTTAGCACACATAACACAAACTTATTTTAACACATATAACATGTTTTCACACCAGTTTATTGTCATTAAATATATCATACAATCATTTATCCAAAATTTTAAATAATTTTTTAACAAATAGTATATCACATTTTATCAATGAAATTAACTAAAATACATTCAAGTTTGAAACCAAAAATTAAAGCAAGAATTATACTAGCATACTGTCATAATAATGTTAAGAACAATATTACTAATTATCATAGTAGAAATAAGAATTAATAAGTAATAATGTTAAGACTACATCAATCATACATAATAGACAAACTATATCGCCATAAACGGGTTAAACGTGGTATACAATGGATTAAGTCAGGTTTGTGTGTGAATTATGTCAACTTATTTAAAATATACGAGTTAATTAGGTCAAAATCAAGTTAACCTGATTTTGACATGAACTCGACATGACTTTTTATGGTTAAACGTGTTGACCCGTTTTGTGTGACCTAATCACGCATTGTATGCATATTAACATAATTTTATGGGTTAAATTATAATTATGTGAAATTATTAAAGGATTAATTAATTAAATCTTTTATAATCATGATGTGTGTGAGTATGCATTGGGTATGTGGACCCCATTATTGAGATATTGGTAAGACATATTTATAGAATTTTATAAAAATATTAGTGGGTTGATTTCAAAATCATTTAAAAATTTGAGGGGAGATAAGCGTAATTAACCCATTAACATGGGTCACCTTTACAGGTGTTGGTCTTAAAAAAAGGAGTAATACTTCATGAACTTTAAAATTAAGTTTAAAAAGTAGACTTGATAATTATAACCATTGATTTCACTGTGGGTTCCAGTATTTATTGGAACCCACTACCTATTCAATGATTATGATTATCAAGTCTAATTTTTAAGTCTATGTAGCATTACTCTAAAAAAAAAAAATGGTGTGCCATGTGTGTGTGTGAGTGTGTGTCGTGTGTATGTGTGTGTGTGTGTGTGTGTTTAAGGTGTAAAGTGTGGGTGTGTTAAATAAAATATAAAAGGGGTGTTGGGCGTGTGTGTGTCTGTTTAATATATAAAACAAAGTGTGTGTGTTTGTCTGGTTCTTCACTAAACTGTGAGTGAGTGAGGAGAGCAAGAGAGAAAAAGGGAAAAAAAAAAGGAGAGCAGAAGATATCAAGAAAACAAATACGTGTGTGTGTTCATTTGATCCGTGAACAAGAAAGGTATATGGAATTCAATTTAATCATGCATTGTGATTAATTTATGTATATATGTATTTGTATATGTATGAACTGTTTTAACATGTTTTAAATTAGTGACTATTTTAATTTAGTTTATGGACTGTTTTAGTTAATTTTAATGGGCTATTTTAGTTTAATTTGGTGGGCTGTTTTTGTGTTAAAATAATGGGTTGTTTTATTTTAAATTCAAAACAAATTTTATTAAGGGTGTTAAACAAAATTTAGAGGCTGTTAAGAATGGGTATTAAATGGGTACTCAACAAAGTGTACAAAAGTGTGAAAATGATCATTTAAAATATTCGGAAAGTATTTAGTGGGCTAGGTTGAAAACGAAAATTATGGGAATAAAATGAGTGGTTTAAAGGTTCAATTAGGGGTTGTTTTGCATTGATTAAAAGTGTGCGTGAATTTAAGTGCAACAGATTTAACAGAAAAAAGAGCGATAGAGGTTAGGAAAGGATGTCGATAATGTCAAAACCCTGATTTCTAAATGTTATCATTACATGCATAAATTTTAATTCAAATGACCTGAAATTTTGCATGCTGCATTTTTAAATGATATTTGATGTGATAATGTGACTTTCGAATGTAAATGAGTATAATATCCGGTGCGAAATGTACGAAATGTCGGAAGTGCAGTTTTTAAGATTCGGGGTCGAAATATGTGAAAAATGGGCCTCCAATCAATGTGTTGACCTACTTAATCCTAATTGTGATTAATGTGAGTGATTTTAAAAATTTTGGGAGGAAATGTAATCCTAGAACAAAAGTACTAATGTGTAACCGAAGCTAAAGGGCACTTTGGGGTACATCATTTTGCATGCATTAGTGCATGATTAACTATTAAATGTGATAAACATATTGATATTGTAATTACAAATGTGTTAGGTGAAACGAGTGAGACAGTTGGTATTGGAACAGATACAGTGACATCGAAAGGATCCACAGATAAGATCGAAGGGCCGTAGATTTGTACATTTAAGGTGGGTGTATATCTTTATATGTTTTGAAAATACTATTATAAGACAATATTAAATGATAAAATTTAATAGCAATTCTCTAGGATTATGTTTTATGTGCTTATGTAATTGACTCATACTTTGTACTGTGTATTATGTATTGTGGAATGTGGCGTATTATTTGAGGCAAGGGTGTCGATGCTTGATCACTGAGCGTACAGTGGTGTGCTAGCATTGTGGTGTTCCCGGGAAGTTCAGGAGACACGGATCCATGTGGAATCGATCACCCGCTGAGGGGTAGTATGAATGTGATATGACTTGTAAATTCTTTAAAATTAGATTGATGTTGTTGTTTGATACGTGTATCTACCTACTTCAGTGTATTACTATCATTTCCATTTCATATACAACATGTACACTCACCGAACGCGTGATTTAGCTTACACCCCTATAGCTTATTCTTTCCAGGTATTATAGAGGAGGATGCAGATCAATCCACTGTCCAGTTGATTGAGTCTTGTACAACGTTAGTGTAATATCACTCAGATTGAGTGTTAGTATGACTAATTTCTAGGTTGTGTATTATATTTGTGAGAGAATATTATGACAGGTTAATAGTATATATTTGTAAATAAACTCAACAAACATATTTTGTGATGTATGCTATGTGGGTATGAGATTTTGTATATGTCTATAACCTGGGTAACAATCAATTGGTACATGTGTTTAATATATGGTACAAGTTATGAGATAAGTTTTACCATCATGTTCAATGACTAAGGTGATGGGTGGTGTTGTTGCACTTGTGAGTTTATTTAATGTTTGATTAGTCCAGATTATAATAATTGTAAACAGGTGTATAAAAAATCTAGTCGTGTCTTATCCTTGATTGACTAGGATGGAGCATGACACGTTTTAACCTATTAACTTGTTTAATTTCGTATTCGACCTATTAATTTTGTGTTTGATTCGCGTCGTGTTAAAAATTGACAGTCCTACTTAATACCCTAAAAAGTTTTTTTTTTTTTACTTTTAAAGATTAAATTTTGTATATCAATACATTAAGGGCTCGTTTAATAGATGTATTATGAGGGGATTAAATATTGAATTATACTTTTTTTTTATTTAATTGGGCCTAATATTTTATTTGGTAAACAAATTTGATATTGTATTAATTTAAAAAAATATATACTAATCATATATTGTTTATACATTAAACCTGTATTATACGGATATTTTAATACCACCAAAAAATATGATATTATAATCCAGAGTAACTCAAACATATTATATATTTTACACATTTATCATTATAACCCTCAACTAATAAAATCAAATTGTTATCAATGTAACAAGCACGAATTGAGTGTATGTTTGTTAATTCAACATTAATACTATCAAATAATTTCTTAATCAAACAACCGATTAGATTAAATAATTATAATCCAATGTTTATATTGTGTATTACTAAATACTAGATAAAATTATGTACTATTTTAATACCCTATTTAGTTTTATCTTTTATTTTTCTGTATTGTATTAGATCGAATTATTTTATCTAATTCATCCGTTTTTAATACGACAACCAAACGTGCCCTAAAAATATTATAATATGGTATTTTTTGTTTTCGTTATCCTGAATAAGAAACATAAATTAACAAAAGATCGTATTATAATATGTTTAAAACTAATTATTGTCTGTGCTTGAAAATACAGAATAATAAAAAATAGTAAACAATAAATATATTTATATTCATATCTAAAATTAAATCACAAACATAGAAAAGAGATAAAAGAATTTAAATATTGATTTTGTAGTGGGGGTGAGAAGAGGTGGACGACAGTGGTAGTGGTGGTAAGAGACGATGATGGTTGTGGTGAGTGACAATGACCGTGGTTGCGGTGGTGGTGGCGGCGGCGGCGACGGTAATGGTGGCGATGGTGGTAGTGGCGGCGACAGTGATGGCGACAATGACGGTAGTGGCGATGGTGGTGACAATGAGGGTGACAGCAGCTGTGGTGGCAACAATGGCAGTGGCGGTGGCGAGACGTTTTTGAACACTATTTTTTAAAAAAATATTTATGAAAAATAATATTTAAAAATATTTTTAAAAATTATTTCAAACACACCTTTAAGACCCTGTTTTTCTATTAAATTTAGGGTGTTAATATTAGTCGTTAAATTAATTTTAAAATAAAATTTAAAGTAATTTTAACCGTGAATAATAAAAATTGTTGGGTTAATCTCATTTTACACCTCGAAAGATTGTTCAAATCTCAATTTGCACCCTCAAAGATCAAAAATCTCAATTTACACCCTTAAAGATATAAATTTGTATCAATGTACACCCCCAAAGATCAAAAATCTCAATTTGCACCCTCAAAGATAGAAATTTATATTAATGTGTACCTTAAAGATAAAAAATCTCAATTTACACCCTCAAAGATAGAAATTTGTATCAATGTGCACCTAAAACTAAATTGATAAATTATACCTAGATCCCCTCATACTTGTCACTTAATCATTTAGACCTCTTCACATTTAGAATATTACTCCTATATCTTATGACATTTGTGCACGTATAACGCGTAACTCATTTTCATTGATATCTATTAATATAACCGTTAAAAAATATATTTTTATCCTAATAAAAAATTAGAATTTCATATTACCCTTTATTTTATGGGTTCAATATATTCTAAAGTTCAAAATCTAGTTTACCATTTGAATGTCTAATAAAATGTAAATATTTATATAATGTTTTTCATATTACTTTTTATATAAATATCTACATTTTATTAGACATTCAAATGGTAAGTTTGATTTTCAACTTTAGAGTATATCGAATCCACAAAATAAAGGTAATATGAAATAATAATTTCTTATTAGGATAAAATCATATTTTTTAACGATTATATTAATAGATATCAACGAAAAGTGATTATGTGTTATACATGCACAAACGTCATGAGATGTAAGAAGAATATTTTAAATGTGAAAGAGTTCAAATGATTAAGTGACAAACATGAGGGGATTTAGGTATAATTTATCAATTTAATTTTAGGTGCACATTGATACAAATTTCTATCTTTGAGAGTGCAAATTGAGATTTTTTATCTTTGGGGATGCACATTGATACAAATTTCTATCTTTGAGAGTACAAATTGAGATTTTTTATCTTTGAGGGTACAAATTGAGATTTGAACAATCTTTTAGGGTGTAAAATGAGATTAATCCAAAATTATTTTATTTATTTTTAAGATTTGAATTGAAAATTATTTTATTATATAAATATGAAGGGTATAATATAATAAATTTAATTGGGAACGGTACAAAATGAAAATTTCCGTATTTCACGGGATTCATGTGGCCGGGAGCACCGGGATGAAGATCAGACGTGTACTTTTCTAGCACCATGTCTCGCCACTTTCTCACTCCCGACAAAAAGACACTTATTTTTGTTAAAAACCTCCTTAGAACAAAATTTCTCTGCATTTTCAACGGATTCTTCATTTCAGAGCCTTCTGAAAAACAAGTTTGCTTATTGGAAAGTAAAAATCCATTTAGATTTGTGTGTCGTAACTGATTGCGCGAAGCCATGGCTCTGCATTTGGGCAATGCATGCTTGTGTGCATTCAGCCACAGGAAAGTGCAGAGAATCAGAGCCGTTGCTTCCGAGAACTTTGCCATCAAAACAGAAGAAGATAAGGTAAAGTTGGGGGGTTCTGACTTGAAGGTGACAAAGCTTGGGATTGGAGCTTGGTCATGGGGTGACACCAGTTACTGGAACAACTTTGAATGGGATGGTAAGTTGTTTAAACAAATTTGAAGTATTGGAGTACCCTTTTGATGGTAGTCTTCTATTATTCTTGTTCAAGTTGGTGGTTGTAATCAAGGATATTGAATATTCTTAGCATCTTTCATAAGTTTTTGTATTAGCAGATTCTTTTACCTAAAATGGTCATAGCTTCATTGGAACAGGTAGACAGGGGCTAGGTGCTGCTAAGATTTTTTTTTTGTAGGAGTTATTGCTTAATTTTTTTTTACTTCTTTGTATATTGGTGTGTTTAACTTTTAAGTGAAAGCTTAAGTCTTTTGTGTATGTATTTTTTCCAATTCTGATGAATTTGTTTATTGATTCAACCTAGTAAGTACTATTTGTTCAGCTGATTAAGCTTATTTTATGTGTGTTTTCCTCTTTCATAGAATTCTATTTATATTCGTTCAGCTGAATGCGTCCATTATATGTTATTCTTCCTTTTCTGGTAGAAATCAATCAGTATCCAATGGGTTTCAGGATCAGTTCAGCTGAATGAGTCGTGCATTCATATTTGCGATTCCTTTTCTGGTAGAGTTTATAATGGGTCCAATGCATTTCAGGATTGCACATGATTCTATATATTCTGTTGACATTTTGCTTGATAAAGACCATCGTGGGTGTCCTTTTAAAATGCACATAATCGTGAGCATAAAAACTAGGAATTGCAGAAGTCTCTATCTTTTCTGCCAGAATATCAAACTGTCTATCGTTTCAATTCCAAAATTTAGTCTACTTTTTGTTTATGGTGGATATTAGATTGCTCTATTTTTCATTAGTAGCTTCTATGAATATGACGGGTGGTTCTACGTCATGTTCCTGTTGGAATTTCTGTTGTGACATTTGCATTTTTAAATCTTTTGTGATGAGGCAGATAGGAAGATGAAGGCAGCTAAGGCTGCTTTTGATTCCAGTGTTGATTGTGGTATAACCTTCTTTGATACTGCTGAGGTGTATGGCTCAAGGGTGAGAGGGATTTGATTAATGCTGTAATTTTTTGCTCCACTAACTTGCATGAGAAAGGTAATGATCAAATGGAATTATCATTTACTGTGCTTGCAGTTCTCGTTAGGTGCAATAAATTCTGAAACACTACTGGGAAGGTACGTTGTGAAATTTTATTCATAGTGTTTCTTGTTGGAAAAACTTACCTTAGGAAGAATACTTTGAAGCTTGAACTCTACTTTACTTTGGTTGTTCTGGTTATCAAATTTAACTTTTCTCTTAAAGATTTATTAAGGAAAGGAAAGAAAGGAATCCAGAAGTCGAGATTTCTGTTGCTACCAAATTTGCAGCATTACCATGGAGGCTTGGTCGGCAGAGTGTCCTCACTGCACTTAAGGATTCCCTTTGTCGTCTCGGGCTTTCTTCTGTGGACCTCTATCAACTCCATTGGTCTGTGTTCTATCAGCATTCAAGTTAATTATCTACCTCTATCATTCCATCAAAAAGATATTGACTTACAAATATGTTTGCAATAAATTTTTCAGGCCGGGAGTATGGGGAAATGAAGGTTGTTCATGAATAAGGCCCTCGTTTCATTACAAATTGAGTTTATGTAGCAAGAAGAATTGAGCGTTAATTTTTGGTCATGGTCAGGTCGGAAGAAGCTTAGTTTATTGGAAAATGATTTTTCAGGATATATTGATGGACTTGGGGATGCTGTGGAGCAGGGTCTTGTGAAAGCTGTTGGTGTATCTAACTATAATGGTATCACCCTAATTTAATCTGTTTATTGTTCTTGCAAGCTATATATACATATGCTTTGGTATGTTATTAATTGCCTATATTTCTTTACTTCTATTTTTCTTATGAGGATGGTACTGTGATTTTTTATGTATGCAGCAAGTTATTAATTTGACAATAATTCCCTGGCTTTTCTTCCATATTGTGGTTAATGGATGTGGTTCTTGTTTCAGAAAAGCGACTTCGCAAGGCATATGAGCAACTTGGAAAGAGAGGTGTCCCATTGGCTTCAAACCAAGTTAATTACAGTCTCATATACAGGCTTCCAGAGGAGAATGGTGTGAAGACTACCTGTGATGAACTGGGGATCACTTTGATCGCATATTCACCTATTGCTCAAGGTTATTAACCGCATGTGTTCTTGCTTCAGGATGCATATCGATTTTTAGATAGGGCATATCCTTCAATATCAATGCAGTTGCCAACAGTTTTGGTATGCTTGGGTGGTTTGTTATGTCATACCACAGAACTAAAGGCCTCACTCGTAAGGTTGATATAAACTACTGACCGATACTTTACACCTTTTTTTTTTGTTCTCTAAACCATTTGACTGGGAGTGGGCCTAGGGCTGGATACTACTCTTCCTCTTCCCTTTAATTTGAAAAATAAAATTCCACCATGTTGAACCAGTCCTTGCTCTGGTTATTTCATTAGCTCTTCGATGTAAATCCTTCTTGTTTGGCAAATGGCAACTTTGTTTTGATATTTTTGTTGTGTCAGCATAGTAGATAAGAAAAATAAACGGTTTTTACCAGCCTCCTAAAAGCTTCCAAGACTTTGAAACTTTTGACCTTGACTGGTTCATTTCCTGTGGCTTATTATTTGGTCCAATCTAGGCATGACATCATCACTGGTTCATGTGAGTGAAACATAGGAAATTTTGCAGGCGCTCTGACAGGAAAGTATACACCAGAGAAGCCTCCCACTGGTCCTCGACGCCAGATTTACACTCCTGAGTTTCTAACTCGAGTAAGCCCGGGGTAATATAGGGATGTCCATTGCTTCGATATTTATCAATCAATTGCTGAAGTATTTTTTGTGTCCTGCAGCTACAACCTCTCATAAACAGAATAAAGGAGATTGGACAGACCTACAGTAAAACTCCGACACAGGTTCTGTCTTTTCTATTATGAGCATGTGTTTTATAGTTTAGTCAGCTCATAAACCCTGAATCTATATGTGCCCTACTACATTTGTTAAAGTCACTACTTTTATGAGCATTAAAAAGCCTGTGCGCGCACTTCACAATTCATCTTTCATTAAAAGACCTCCTTACATGTTCATACTGTTCTCTTGCATTTGCTCCAAGCTACACACAAGTGGTCCTATACTAGATTTTAACACTGAGAAACTCCAGTTCAATTGTCACAAGAAACATTAGTGCAACTAATATAAATGTGGAAATGATTTCTTGCTTTCAACGAAATGCTTATCATGATCAACTCGTCATGCATAATTGTTTCAATAATATTGGCTTATTTCCCCAGGTAGTCCTCAACTGGCTAATAGCCCAGGAGAATGTTGTCCCCATCCCAGGAGCAAAAAATAAAGAACAGGCCACAGAATTTGCAGGTGCACTGGGATGGAGACTTTCTGATGAAGAAATCGTCGAGCTTCGTTCTTTGGCATCAGAAACAAAACCTGTTACTGGGTTCCCAGTTGAAAAGTTATAAAATTTACCAGCATTTGCACATATTTATGCTCTCTATGCAATAAATTGTGAAAAGGTGAACTTGATGTTAATGATCAATGCTGAAGAGTAAAATTCCCAGAGTCAGGAAGGTTGATTGTAGACAACCCCCTGATTGGAGGTTTATAGGTCTGATTATACACAAATATATGAAACATGCCACTGCCAAGCAACTTAGAAATCAACTGTGCTTGCTCCTTACGAATGATTTTTAAGTTAGCCTTAGATCTACTATTCAACACTCCACTATGTCTACTCTCTGTTTTGCTCAATTCCACATCCCAATATTGAACCTCTGTCCGATCTCCACTAAGGTTTGTGAGGATTCCTTGAGTTCCATTTGATTTGAAATTCATTGGAGTTTTTGCTCATCCAGATTAGGAGAATTGGAAAATTAGTCTGAATCAGCCAATTACTTTGGGAAAGAAACCGGCCTCGATTGTTGGAATGCATTATTAGATTATGCAGCTTCGAGTCGATGTTTTATCATAGACCAAGGTCTTCCAAGGAGACTGCTCATTGGGTTGCAGCAACATCCATTGAAAAATTTCTTAGAACTGGTGTTGCTTTCTGCCCCAGTGGCATAAGGCTTCTTCCTCTTTTAGTTGAATGGCTAACTTGCCCTGATCAATGTGTACACGCACACACACACACACTGAGTTGATGCCTTTTAGTGGTTATTATAGTTTTAGCTTTTTCAATAGAATGCTATGTTGGTACTATGGTATATGAAATCGTGGTTCTTTACTTCTTTTTAAGCATGCAAGAGAGTTTGGACAAAGCATGCTTATTTACAATTGAATATTGGTCCTACCTCACCAAACCAATCAAATTGAACAATGATTTTCCTTCATTAAATTTCCCCTTCATGCTTGTCAGTGGCAAGAACCAACTCAGTTACTTGTGCACGCCTTAGGCTGGCAACAGCCCATAGTCATAAAACCTCTGGATTGATGTATTACATACATTTTAATTTCAAGCGCAACTTTAAATTTACATAGTCAAAATAATATTGTTTTAAAGCAAGCGATACGAAGACAAATAAGTGGATTTACATTAATTTTCTGCCTACTGGCAAGTTTGGTTGTCTCTATCTCTATACTAAATATTTTTTGGCGTTTGTTAGCTAGACCTTCCAACGAACCACTTCATTTAACAATAGTTTAAGATTCCTTCACTTTATATTAGAAAATAATGTATAGAAAATTAGTGGTCTAGAAAGAAGTTTAATACCAACCATTCGTGGCAAGTTCTAGACTAACTACTACCTTGGAAGCATCCCGATCATCTGAAGTTGTATCTAACTGCATCGATTACCTTTTATGCACCATAATCATACGATGAGAATCTTAACCCGTGTGACCATGTAAACTATTTTCGTGTTTATAACGATATAAATGCAAAATTGTGACAGAATTACAGATCTGAACTGAGATAACATAGCACACATGGGACAAAGAGAAGTGACAGGTGAGAAATAATTGAGCAATGGGTAATAAAATGATGGAACGTATGACCTCTACCTTGAAATAGGCCCCACTTGTTTGATAACCCCATTCACAATGACTTCTTGAGGCTGCCTGCCTCCTATAACTGTTGTTTTCTCCATTAAACTGCTCCTCACCTGAATTTGAATACAAGGTTGTAGAAAGAGTTTCTTGGTTTTACCCATATGGGTTTGATATTTTCTTTTTGTTGGATCATGGGTATTGAGATTTATATATTCTCCAACTAAGATTCATCATTATCATTAAACAAAGCATAGGATTACACTCCAAAGTTGTTGTAACTTAGCTTTTCTACTAAAGAAGGTATTGTAGTCTTCCTCCTGATTTGTGGACCAAAATGATTGCATGGTGATTAGCCTTGGATTCTTAGTTATTTTAGTTCGTCAAAGGAATCTAATACGCATCACGACCTAGACAATGTCTTCTATTTCAGTAGGGAATAATTTTGATGCTACCTCCAATCCGAAGGCACCCCAGACCCAGAGTACACTTGGTAAAAGATATTATTCACACCTCTTTTTTCTACTATCAAACTTCAAATACAACGAACATTTTATAAAAATAGTTAATGCAGTAGCTGAAAAAGAAGAGTAGAATAGGACCTTTCAATGAAAGTCAAAGTCAAAGTTTTAGGACTTTGATTGAATTACCTAAATAAATGAAATATTAATTTTAATTGTTAAGTTTGAGAGAGTAGTCGGTGTAAACTTGAACATCATATAGTAAAATAAAATAATTTTTTTTTTATCTCATTTTATTGGATAACAATTTCTATAATATTGTCTTTCCATCACTAAGGGGATCACATTGATTATGCAAGAATCGTGTTAGTTACGAGAGGATCGCAAATCACACCAGATAACTATATATTATAAATAGGAATTAAATTTCTCGTATTGTAATCGATCAATCATCTGTGCCATTGACTTTATGTAATTCTGTAACTTTCTATCCCAAGTAATAGAAAACTCTTGCAGGAACAAGTGACTTCATTAGAATGTATTAGTCAAACTTTTGAATTGATGTACCATTATAAATTCCCATCTTTATTCGTAGCTATTTAACTTCTGAATCAATTGTTCAACCCCCAATAGTCCAGAATCGTTAACTGAATATCCCAATAAACCCCCGTCAACGTTCTCTAAACAGTTCACCTCTGTTGAATTGCGTATAACGTTTCATCAGTAATATTATATTATTATTGTTACGTGGTATTACTATTTAATAAAAATAAAAATAGATAAAATAGGCCCCTATTTATAAACGTGGATAATTATTATATTATATTATATAGAGCGAGTAATTACAAAATTGAGTAGAATCTATTTAACTCCGAATGACATTACCTCAATTACCACCGATCACAAGTGCCATATGGTCATTTTGTCCCTCGCATTTAAATACTCTTTGCTCTTCTCGTTTACAGAGAAGAGAGAGAGAGAGAGAGGGGGAGAGCCGGAAAAGCGAGTGTGAAATTGTCATACGTTGCTTGCCTACTTCCAAACCAACTAATTCACACTGTTTCTTTTATAATTTTTTTCCACATTTTGCCGACACGTATAATATATAGATATAGATAGATACACATTTACTCCAAGCTTCGAATCTCACACAGTCCTTTTCTTCAATGGCGACACCAACCGCGAACCATGTCAGCTCATTTTCTTCTTTGCCTTCCCTTCAATGGCTCGTCTCTTGCATGTCCTGTAGGTAATACCAGCTCTCTAACTGTGGTCATTTGTACAGAACAGAAATGGAGAGGAACAGAGCATGCTCAACATCGGTCTCTCGGTTTCTCTCTGAGTTTGTTGTGTTCGTCATTACGACAATCTTGGTTTTTAATGTTGTTGAAGGAACTACTGATCCGAATGATGGTAATCTGTTTTTCTTTCTGATGATTATAAATTTTTGTTTTGTGTTGATTTGATTGGTTTAATGATTCAATGATGTGACCTGATTGGCGAGTTTGGGCTACAATTTATTAGCATGTGATAAGGTTGCTAGTTCATGCGAGATAAAAATCGAATATTTGCTATTAAAATGAGGATTTTGAAATGATTTTATGTGAATTTGGGATTTATGTCGTAAAAAGTGGTGTGATTGGTGAGCTTTGAGCTACTCTGTTTTGGTTGCTGATGAGGTTGAGAGTCAACGCATGTCAAAGGTTGAGCCTTTGCTACATAAATGAGGGATCTTGATATCATATGTGTGGATGTTCATGTATGTATGTATAAGTGTGATGAACATTTTGATGCGAATGTCTACTAGATTTATTTGATTTGAATTTGGTGGTTTTGAATTACAGTTCAGGCACTTCAAGTGATGTTCGCTTCGATGAATAGTCCCTCACAGCTAACCAGTTGGAAATTCAATGGTGGTGATCCATGTGGGGAGTCATGGAAAGGGATCACTTGCCAGGGCTCTGCTGTTGTGTCTATGTGAGTGTTTATTATCTCAAAGCAGGCTTTATATCAGAGGAGACGCCAATTTTCAGATTTTATATTGTTGTTTTATCAGTGCATTAGTTTGAGTCGTGAGACGCATTTTGGTCGTTTTGACAGTCAAATTTCCGGGTTAGGAGTCAGCGGGACAATGGGATACTTGCTCAACAACCTTGCATCATTGAGAACACTGTGAGAATATCCTTTACCATAACAAGCAACTGTAGTTATAATTTTTTTTCTTTGAATTTTACCTGATTGATTATTATTTTAACTATGGACCAATGCCTGTTTTAGGGATTTGAGTGGAAACAACATCCACGATGCCATTCCGTACCAGTTACCGCCAAACCTTACAAACCTGTAATATACAAACCATTTATTGAATGTTCTGTTTTTTTTAGAAGCCATCCAATTTAACTACTTGAAGTGAAAGGGTCATCTTTTTCTATAATGCAGAAATCTTGCAAGCAACAACTTGAGCGGGAATCTTCCGTTTTCCATTATTGGCATGGCGTCTCTTAGTTATTTGTGAGTGGCACATCTTGAATTCTATTCAAGTTTGTTATTATTCTTTGATAAATTTCATTTCAGTTATTTGGGGAGTAATTTATTCTATTCTTTGTTTTAGGAACATCAGCCGTAATATGCTATCTCAATCAATTGGAGATGTGTTTGCTAATCATTCTGACCTCGTGACTGTGTAAGATATCTGCTTTAATACATCTTTATTGTCCTACTGATGCTGTTGGGGTCTTCTGGTAGTTTCTTTATTCATATAGTCTGAACTGGTGAAATGTCAACTAGTGATTGTAATATCATGTTGTATCGTATCGATCTGAGTTTCATCCATACACACCTGTTGAACTTTCTAAAGTTGTCTCGACAGACTTCGGTCACTTGAGTTGGTCGTATATTTCTCCTCTTTGTTGTCATTAGTAAAATTGTCAACCATTCATTTTTGGCATCTATATTGGAAAGGAGATCTATCTTTGTGATATTTTTTTAATATCTCTTTTGTACGAATTGTTTTTTTTTAACGGGAAAATCTGCTAAGTAAACCAGAAATGTTCAGCTTTCAGATTGGGTTTAGTCAAATTAATATAATTCCATACTTTACTAGCATTGGTGTGAATAAGTTTTCTATTAATCTCGTTTGACCTCATAAAATAGTGATGCTGTGACTTTTTGATCTTCTCTCCACTTTATGTTAATGTAACCACATAATTTTTTTTGTTTCCCCTGCTACAGTTTTAATTCTATATTTAACTATTCCTGCTATATGATTCTATGTTTTTGTTTTCTGTGATCAATTACATATCATATGATTTAGTATACCATCTACTCTACAGTTTACTAGGGAAAACATTGAGGCTGATTGTATGACCTCAGGAAGAAATTGTTGGACGCAGTGGAGATAAATATATAAACGTGCATAAGCACATTCTTATCTATGTTCTCTTCAATGAAAATTGATGCCAGATTGCCTGTCCTTAGTAATTTGTAAGACCTTATATTTACTGGCTAGGATGACAGTGGTTTTTGCAATTGTATGCTGACTGGTTCAAATTTATGTACATTGTTCCAACTTGTTTTTCTATTGGTCATTGTTGTGCATTGCAAACTGTATAAGCTGATTTTGAACCCGCTGTCCTCAAGAGATGCTGCTACCAATTTGTGATGAGCATTTGTTTCTATTTTTTTGCTTATTCTTATAATCAGTAATTAATGTACTTACTTTTGCTGAGCTCTTGTTGTAGAATCGTATCTTTCTTAAATTTTCGTTCATTGGTTTTCCAAATCTGAAGTCCTTCATTTGCTTTGATTAGTCTGTGCCCATTACCCAAGACTTGATGAGCCACTTATCGTCTTCCCCAATCTAGTCCATCTTTGTTAAATCCCCTTGAATATTCCCATTTTTGTATGGATGGTGGAATTCAGTAAGCAAAATGATCACTGCTGGATATCTCCCAGTGGCCAATTGCAATTTCTTTCCTATTTGCATGCTTCCAGTTTTACTTGGTTAATTCTAGTGTGCCAGTGGTTTCTATCTTGGCCATGCTTATTCTGAAACATTTTCAGTTGCATACCTTGTTCTTCATAATCGAATCTGCTTCGAAAATCAACATACTCTATGATAATCGTAAATTGTCTTGTTATCCACTTTGCAAAAGAATTTTGCTTGATGCCTGTTGTTGATGCTCACTAATTGTGGTCTCTGAGTTGACTATCCTACTAAGAACATCAACAGTTTCTATTAAATTTTGATGGTAAGTCATTACTTAACGTGGTATCTCATAGTGTTGTACACGTAACATTGCACATGCCTACGACGCTGGATTCCTCTCATGGTGAATTGAAATGCATGTAATATAGGGATCTGTCTTTCAACAATTTTACCGGAGATCTACCCCCCTCCTTCGGTTCATTGTCAAATCTTTCTACCCTGTGAGTATAATAAAGTGCTAATTGTTGAATTTTTTTGCTGAGTTCTGTTTGAGATTCTTATATTATATGCATTTGTGACAGTCATGTGCAGAACAATGAATTAAGTGGTTCTCTTGATGTTCTGGCTAGTTTGCCTTTGATGGATCTGTAAGTTCTTCTTCTTCTTATAGGGGCTTGGGTTGGAAATATGACAGTTATTCTTAAACCACTATGTTTATTGCAGAAATGTTGCAAACAACAATTTCAGTGGATGGATACCACAAGATTTTAATTCTATCCCAAATTTTGTGTAAGTGATATATCTCGCTTTCTTACTAGGCTTATACATGTTCTGTTCTTACAAGTTTAAAATATTCTGATGTAACACCAAAAATAATACAGATATAATGGGAATTCATTTGATAATGGCCCTGCTCCTCCTCCACCACCGTATACCCCACCTCCTCCTGGTAGAACTCATAACAATCGCAGCCAGTCTCCTCCTGGTGCACGTACACCCCAGGGCTTTGATGGCCAATCATCCAATCCAGACGGCGGGAAAAAAAAAAACTGGTTGACAACTGGACCTCTTATAGGCATAATTTTAGGTTCTTCATTGGTTGTTCTATTTTCACTACTTGCACTTGTTTTTTGCCTTCGAAAGGGCAAAAGGAAGGAACTTGCTCCAAGACCCTCTGCGGGAAGTCTTCCTGTTAGCGCAGGTAAAGGTACATTTTTATCTTTAACCGTTGGCTGAAATGTATTCTATTGGTAACTTGGTGCTTAGCTTTGGCAATTTAAATAAAGTTGCATCGACTGGAAAAAGCTGTGCTATAGGAATATCTGTTTGCTGTGCTGTATAGGAATACTCTGTTTGATGTTTTTGTGCTTTGGAATTTGTTCTTGTCATTGGTATCCTGACCTATTCATTGATGCATTCTGCTTTGCTATGTAGTGAATACAGAGATGCAAGAGCAAAGGGTAAAATCTACAGCTACCGTTGTAGATTTGAAGCCGCTACCTGCAGAGAATGAGTTGGTTGAGAGGATGCAAGGGAAAAATGGATCTGTAAAGAGAGTGAAGTCCCCTATAACTGCTGCGCCTTATACAGTTGCAGCTCTCCAAATGGCAACAAATAGCTTTAGTCAAGAAAATATTGTTGGTGAAGGCTCACTTGGTCGCGTTTATAGAGCAGAATTTTCCAATGGAAAGGTAATTTTATCTTGTTATGGCTATGTTGGCATGCGTCTATTGACATCACATATGTTTACGATCCCTAATAGTTCTAACGGGCTTAGCACTTATGCGTTGATGCGGAGGCGAGTCACTTCTGTTGCATTGTGGCAATCTTTTAGTGGAGCATAGGAATGTCTTTTGTGGGGCAAAAATTCTCAACAGGATGCCATGATGGCTGTATATAGATGGTTAATAATCTTGCTGCTGTAGCATTGAACAGTCATGAGAAAAAACTCCAGGAGACCATGGCAGTGCTTGATCCCTTTCATCCGGTCTTTGATTGATTTGATTCTGGAAGTTTAGTAGTCTTTCATCCAACCCCACCTTCTCTTCATAGTGTATACCCCTATGAAGCACGTATACAGGTCAAAGTATCAATATCGGATACCATATTAGATACAATACTCATCGGATACTTGAAGATGCATATTGAAGCGTCCATAATTAATGAAGTATTTATATATTTTTGGATATGTGTTGGATAACGCATTACAAGTATCCATATTTGATAAAATATTCATTTTTGGATATGTCTTGAATAGAGGTACTAAGATGAATATACTTAAGATATGAAAGTGGATAGGAAGTGCAATAAATTTTGAGCCTTTTCTCTTGAACTCACATTCAATGATACACATACAAAAAAATCCATATGACTTTGAAGATATGTAGATGTTGTAAAGAGAACTTGTATCCCATATTGAATGATTAGGACCACCCAAGGTTAGTTTATATGCTTGAGGGTTTCTATACTCATTGCTAGTTGGTTTTGTATTAGATGCTCTCATATAGTATCAGATCTGAGCCTTAGGTGGTCCCATTTAAATATCCTAGTATGCATGTTTGTTTGTTAGCCTCACGTGGGAGCCTAGATCCCATGTGAGGGAGGGTGTAATGAATGTTTATATCCCGCATCGAATGATTAGGACATTCAAGGTTGGTTTATATGTTTGTGGGGGTCTCTCCACTCATTATCAATTGATTTTGGGTGGGAGGCTCTAACATTCTTAAGTATTGGGTACTACCACATATGAAAATCACATAAAATGAGTTAATTATACCCAATTTATTCGCACTTCTAATTAGTCACGCTCAATTTGTGGGTATACGATGATAAAACGATCAATGCTTATTTGAAAGTAAATATTAATGATCTATCTGAATTGTTATTAAAAAAATTACCACAAATTATAATTATCAAATCCAGTAAGAAATATAAAATATATTTTGTTTTAGACATATTTTGGCTATATTAGTATCCTATTTTTTTTAGGTTCTGTCATGTTACCGTATTTGTATCGTAACGTACCTGCATACCATATCCGAATCTGTGCTTCCTGGGGGTACCCAAACTTATAGCACACTGAAGGAGAACAAGCCAGTTACTTATAACTTGCAACACCCTTCTCTGTTTCCTTGTATTCAATCCATTCCGGTAGTGGTTAATCATGATGGTTTCCTGCTTAGGAAGCATGCACCTTCTATTGTCATCAAAGCTTAATGATTGATAAAAGGAAGCTGTCGAAAAATTGTTTGTTTAAACCCATTAACTACAGAATTCTCAATTTAATTTCTCTTTGCATTACACCTACCACATGGGTTTTCCTAGTCTGCCTATCAAGCTGTACCTTCACCCAAAGCCCTAACAACTTTTGTTAGAGGCGTAGTTGTTGACTCGCTGTGCTGTTGGACATTAACTGCAAATTTCATTAATGTGTAGGCAAATTTCAAGTAGATGCTCAGGGAAAACTTCATTAGTCATTAATGAACTTTGAAACCCGTCTTCCAGTACTGCTTTTTTTTTTTTTTGCACATTTTGATTGTGGTGAGCTATATGCAATTTAACCAATTGAATTTACAGAATGGTATATGTGTTGGGTGATTGTCTGGATGCCCTTGCTGCTAGTTGCAAATTTATGTGTTATTGCCTGTGCCTCTTAAGCCACTCATCGAGGTTTTTTTGTGTAGTTCCTTTTCTTTAGATGTGAAATGTCCAAGACACTGGTTTTCATGGGTTTTTTGTACACCTGAATTTTGATGTTATGTTTCAGCACTGATTTTCCATGTTAATTGTGTATATCCTTTTCCTTACTGCTTGAAGCCAATAGGCCTGATATATGATTAAGCAAGTTTTTGGCCATCTTGGATTGCAGTATCAGCATTTATCTGTTCTGCTTATAGATTAATTATTTATAAAGGCAGACTTATCAGTTTAATGTATTTCTTGTTATAGATAATGGCCATTAAGAAGATCGACAATGCAGCACTGTCACTGCAAGAGGAAGATAATTTTCTTGAAGCTGTTTCGAATATGTCACGCCTTAGGCACCCAAACATCGTGCCACTGGCGGGATATTGTGCAGAGCATGGGCAACGTCTTCTGGTTTTTGATTATATTGGTAATGGGAGCTTGCATGATATGCTGCACTTTGCCGATGATAGGAGGGAGATGTTGACATGGAACGCACGTGTTAGAGTAGCACTTGGCACTGCTCGAGCTCTAGAGTATGTCATCTGTATGCGTTTTATCTCCCTCTCTCTCTCTCTCTCTCTCTCTCTCTCTCTGTGGGTGTATATCCTAAACAGGTTTGTTCTCTCAGGTACTTGCATGAAGTATGTCTGCCTTCTGTTGTACATAGAAACTTCAAGTCGGCAAACATTTTGCTGGACGAAGAGCTCAATCCCCACTTGTCAGACTGTGGGTTAGCTGCTCTGACACCAAACACTGAGCGACAGGTAAATTGGTGGGGCATCTGTTATCTGGCTGCTGTGTGCTTTTGTCTAAGGGTTTTCTCAGACAATTATGCTATACGAATTGAAACTCTCGGCGGTATTTTTTTTAAGCGAAGTCTTCCCCTGTTGAATTATTCAGAGTTCGAACTTTTAGTGCCAAGATATAATTACTTTATAGCGCTTAATTGAAAGCATCCATAGTAATAACATGAAAATTAGAGGGTGATCCTCTACTTGTAGAAGTATGGTCTATGCATGTCTGAGAGACTGAGACGCATGCCTTCAGAACTTTTTAGGTGTGGAAAATGAGCTTTCATTTCATTTTTGCAATGTGGCTGTTTTTGACTTCTTGACCAATCATCTCTTCCTCTCTATGTCAGTCTGTCGGTCTGTCCCTCTCGGATATATGTCTTTTTCGTGGTGAAAAACAAGCCCCTTTGATGCAAATACCAATGAGGAACTAATGATGAAGAAGCTACAGGATATAGAAGCAGGCCTAAGCAACAACTAAGATAGTCTTTTTCCCTGTGGTTTTACAGGTTTCATCAACTCAGATGGTTGGTTCATTTGGTTATAGTGCTCCTGAGTTCACCTTATCTGGCATTTACACTGTAAAAAGTGACGTGTACAGCTTTGGGGTGGTAATGTTGGAGTTGTTGACAGGTCGTAAGCCGCTTGATAGGTAAGGTTGTCCTACATCACTGAATTTTCACATTTACGTTTTTTTGAATTGTTTTCAAATTCTCCAATCTCTTGATTTTGATTTTTGTACTTTTCCTTATTCCTCTGGTTATTTAGCTCAAGGGTGAGAACGGAGCAGTCACTTGTAAGATGGGCCACTCCTCAACTGCATGATATAGATGCCTTGGCAAAAATGGTTGATCCTGCTCTAAATGGCATGTATCCTGCAAAGTCTTTGTCTCGCTTTGCTGACATCATTGCGCTCTGTGTTCAGGTAAAGTTCTTTTTACTAGTATAAGACCCAAAAGTTGCTTTGCAAATGTTTTTTTATTAATCAGTAAAGTAGGTCAAACATACCTTGTGTTCTGGAACGTTTGGAATAAGGGATGGTTATCCGGAAGTTTTGAACTCGGGAGACGGGTTGAGTTCTGATTGACTTTTAAGCCAAAAGCTACTCAGCTGTATTTCATGTTGCATGCAAATATTAGTTTCATCTTCTCATAGAATTTCCTCTCTGCATAGCTGCGAACTTGTGCTATTTGATATATGGATGCTATTAAATCTGAATACAGGTTTTTGTGGTTGTTTTGTTGTCTTTTGGGAACGCAACTGTTGCATAAACAATCTCTGGTAGTCATACATAAGCACGTCATCTGAGATAACATGATATAGATTGTATCTGATAAATTCGAAACTAATCTGGGAGTCTCATTTTCCACACAGCCCGAACCTGAGTTTCGGCCCCCCATGTCTGAAGTTGTGCAAGCACTGGTTCGATTGATGCAAAGGGCAAGTGTGGTCAAAAGACGATCCAGTGATGAATCAGGCTTTGTTTTCAAGACTCCTGATCATGAGGCAACTGACATGTCATATTAGGTATCCAGCCTTCCTAATTTCATTGGCAGCCTTTGCAATTTTGGTATGCAATTATGCAGAGTGAAGGGGGATTAAAATGCAAGTGGACTCGGGGCAAAAAGGTGTCGAATCTTGATCAATATCAGATGATGCCCGAAAAAGAAAAAGATCAATATAAGATCAAGAGAATGTAATTATGTCACACAATTTCAGTTGCAAATCGCTTCTTTTACAGTTGAAGTTGAGGTAAATATTTCAATATTTCATTTAAGATACTCTTACATTTGTATGCAATCGTTCATAAATGTCATCGTGTATGAGATTATTTAAGAAAATAAAAAAGTTCTGATGATCGAGCAAGCTTTTCTATTTTGAACTGGGATCAAACAAGCTCCGTGGATCTATATCTTATTATCTGTTTTAGGGATTTGAAAGTGGAACCAGATCTCGTAATGGCCATTAGACCGATTACTTATGAGCTGTTTAGGAGCCTCCTGTGCAAGTTCTTAGTATCCCTTTTAGTCTTCCTTTATGCTCTTCGTTATTCTTCACGGAACTCCAGCAGAACAGTCACTAAAGACATGAAAGAAAACTATTTCTTTTGTATTTAGGACACCGCAACAGGCCACACTGACAAGGGTATTCTCACAATATGATTTAAACTGCCTGTTAAAACAATCTCACCAAAGCTGAAGTCATCAAGTGCTTGAGTCACATTGAGTCTTATTTCCAAAACCTGGGTTTTCTGTGGAGCTATTGTAAACCATGATGGATGTATTTCAACCACCACCCCCTTAGGTGGTATCACTGCACATAAGTAGGTCTCTGGCTTGCAAGCTATGTTCTTGACACTCCTTCGCACGGTTCGTGTTCCTCTAAGTTCTGATATGGTTACTGAAGGGATGTTCAGATCAGAGGGGTTGCCAAAAGAGCGACTGCATAATTCTCCGGTTGCAGTTTTGATGGTCGCTGGATCAACGTTGGGTAGAGAGCACAAGAAGCTTATGTAATCCTCATATTCTGCTTCACGATCACATTATCATGTAAGAAACTACCGACTGTTAAACTAAACACATTTTCTGTAACAGCTTGGTAGTTCAACAATAGGTTCTACATGAATCGAAATGTTCATGAAAAACTTAGCATTGGCTTGTATTGGAGCTTGTTTAAGTTTGTTCATTTATAAAATGAGCGGAGCTCGAGCCCAATTTTAGAGATTTTTTACTAAGTGAATTTGAACAAGCTCTACTTGATCGGAGTTTAAGCCCCAACACAAGCTTGAGCTCAGTTTGTTTACCCAAATGAGCAAAGCCCAAGCATTATTCTCAAACGAATGAGTCTCTGCTTGAACAGTCTCTGCTTGATTGGCTCATTTTCAGCCTAGTTAACAAAACTAACCCGATGAAAAGACGAGGCCTGGATCCAGGGCACGGGTCGGATTGACGAGGCCAGCACCAAAATCGAAAGGAGTAGACGGGTATAAGCTATGGATATCAGGTCCTTCAGCCATTATGAGTTCTCCAAGATTATTGTACTTACTGGCAGTGGTTGACATTGCAGAGAAAATCGTAGATGGTATCCATGAAGGATTATACTGCTTGATGAGTGCAGCTATGCCAGCAATATGGGGTGTTGCCATGCTGGTTCCAGATATCAGTGCAAAACTGTTTCCTGTCGCAACTCAAACTTGATAATCAAATATACACAGCCTGCATTGTAAATTATTTTGTCCCAGAACAATAATGAAACAGTAAATCAGAAAGCATTTGTTCTTAGTCAAGTATTAAAATGAATTCAAGATTGTTCAAGTGGTGACAGGAATAGATTGTAAACTCAGATATTTTGAATTTGAATTTGAATATTGACACTTGTATGAGGTCAGACTATGAGTAGTTTATCCTTCATGAATACCTTAGTTCGGCTTAAACTAGCTTAGATACTCTTGACTATTGAACTAAAAAGAAGTATCAAAATGAGCAAATGTGAAAACCGAAACGAATTAGCAATAGAAAATGTTTCAGGCAATGTTTCTGAATATTTCAGAATAAAAAATTTCATTTTTTTTCATTGTTTCCATTGGATTTTCGAATTATTGCAGAATTTTTTTCGTTTTTGATCTAGTCAAAAGCATTTACCATCCTTGTTCTTAGTTACCTGATAAGATTGGATTTAGAACACTCATGGGGCTCCAAGCTGCCCAAATTTGTTGCCCTGGAGCCAAAATATCTGGCTTGAGTACATCGGTAGGGTTCCGGCTACGGTCTATGAAATCGGGTCCCCTTGAAGAGAATCTGCTGACGATCGGCGCTCGTCCCGTGTAAGAAGCAATTCTTCCCTCTCCTATGGATGCTCTGGCATTGAATCTGATCACAAAGCCTCTCTGGTCTCTGTCTGTTTGCTGCTCGTAGTATCGCGATATACTCTACGACCAACAAAAATGGCTGTTATTTCCATGTAAGTATGCTAATGTTCTTAGAAACAACATTCCGTTCATATCAGCGATCAAAATTCCAATTCGTTTCAGTCGTTTCGACTCAAATGTTTAACTTGTTTGGTTATATAAATCTAAAAACAATCAGAATAGAAAATGGTAAAATTTATTTGGTTAATGACCCAAGAAATTAAAAATAAAAATGTGATGGTGGTGGTGGTGTGGTGGTGGTGATCAAGGCAGTGGAAGTGTGGCGACGAAGGTGTTTTCTAAATTCTAAAAAAAGTTATTTTGATTAACACACAAAACAATTTTAATTTATTTGTTGTTAGTTTTCAAAATTCAAAAAACAAAAAATAACTGGTCAAACATTTTTTCTCTCCGAAACTATGGTCAAACATATTTTCTCTTCGAAATTGTTTTGGAAAATAAAAAACAATTTTTTGAGATGCAAAATAAACAGAGTCTCAGTTTTCATTCTTTTTTCAAAATTCTTCCAGAAATGCTTGTATTTCCAAGCTAATCAAAATTGTGCTCTGAATATTTAGCTATTCAAACATACCAGAGCATCACTTGTTCTTGGGGTCATAATGCCGGGAATGGAGAACGGAATAGGTTCTGCGACGAAGTTTCCGTAGGCCGGGTTTGCTACAAACACGAAACCCATGAATCCCAAAACCTTTGCTGTCTCAATAATGGCTCTAAGACTGGAAGTCCCGTTGTAGAAGCCGGTGGAGAAGGTGCAGATAACAATTTTGCCTTGCACTATAATAGGGTCTAGTGCCTCTGGATATTGGCATTCCTCTATGTACTCTGGGGTCTTTGGGAATGTCCCATTTACCTTTACTGCATCCTTAGCCAACACCAACATATGTTGAAGTAGGCCATGCCCGAAGCTTGGTCCTAAGTACAAGAATTAATACCAATGTTGTCAATCCTGGTAAGAGAAAACACTATGAGACTGTAACGCCCGGGACTCGTATGGCCGACTGCTATAGTCCGTTTCGGATTAGAACATTAAAACGCATAGTAAGTCGAAGATTCATTCACACTTCATCAAGGGATGTGGGACTGTATCACTACAATCCACCTCTTAAAGTCACAAGTTCTTGTGTGAAACTCGTACATACACGGTGATGTGAGATTCCAGAGGATGACTCCCATCACACTATCTGCCACTGCCCTACATGGACCTGGGTGCATAGATTATTGTGCTTCGTATTGTGAGCGTAAGTGATTCTGTTACTAATTATAATGTGTTAGTTCTGTATTGTATAATATTATCTATTTTGTATTAGGTCTACGTATGTTGTAATATAATAGTTTAAACCTCGTACTTTGTAAAATATGTCGCACACACTTCACCGGACGGTTTGATACCTTGTTACAGGAAGTGAGTTTGAACTAACTTTAATTGTTAATGTTGGAGTATAGATAATCTAGATTTATTAGGATTTCTTTTCCTATGTTTATTAGGATTTCTTTTCCCTTTAGAATTTCTTTTCCCTTTTTTACCTTTACTATGATTTTTATATTTTGCCTATATATACGGAGTTTTACTCTTAATTTGAGTATCTCCTTTTACTCACAATTATTTCAAGTTGGTATCAGAGCAAGGTTAGGGTTTGGGGTAGGGTTAGTGTATGGCTCTACCAGCCATACCGCCGAAACCACCCTGGCCATCAACTGCCTGAAAGTTGAATAGGAGAGGTTAAAGTGACGGCGCCGTCGCTGTCCGCCTTGATCAAGCCGTCGCTTCGTCTTGACCCTCGTTTTTGCCCAATCTCTTCCGTTCAATTTTAGGCCTTAGTCTTGTACATTCTGTTGATCTGCCCTTGATGCAGTAGATCACTTATTTATATATTTTGGATTTCTGGGCACCGTGACTTGATTATTTGGGAGCTTTTTGGACCTTCCTTATTTGTCGCTACTGTTCGACTGAAGGTATATTGTTCTCCCTTATTTTATTCCTCTATTTATCTTAGAGTTATTTGGGAGCTTTTTGGACCTTCCCTATTTGTCGCTACTGTTCGACTGAAGGTATATTGTTCTCCCTTATTTTATTCCTCTATTTATCTTAAGAGTTATTTTTTTGTCACGGGTGCCCTAGTATTGTTGTTGATATGGCTACTACTGAGGGATTTGAGAACCCTACTGTTGACACCTCTACCGTTGAGACAATCTATAATGAATTTTGATTGTGAATTGAGTTGAGTTTACTCCTCTTGTTCTTGATTGAACTTTTGAATTTATCAAAGGTAAATCACATCCTTTGTGGCGTTCTTGCTTGTAATTTGGGTTCTTCAGACGGGTCTAGATTTAATATAATCTAGGTTCTTGGAACGAGATCTCAACGGGTCTAGTTGCATTACCAGCATTACCGGACATGATCTCTAAAAAAAGTTACGGCACAATTGTTGAATGGTCGTAACTTCGCTGAGTGGTCACGCTCATTCCAGCTTTTCTTAGGACGTGTAAGGAAGCTTGGTTGGCTGACAAGATCTCACCCAAAGACAGCTGATGCCGACCCTGGATATTCTGCATGGTTCTCTGAAAACTGTGCCATTCTTGGATGGTTATTTGGCTCAATGGAGCCCTCTGTTTGCAAGATCCACCAGTTTCATAGCTCTGTTATGAAGCTATGGAGCGCATTATCAGAGATGTATTCTCAGTCAGGACGGGGAGTTTTTGGCCCCCAATTTTGGGCATCCATGTTTGGTTTTATTCTCTAGATTAGAGAATTTTGTGTAATCTCCCTTTGTTGATAGTGAAACTTTGCTATTGCGTTTCACCCGTGGAAGCTACTTGCTGGAAGCTCCATCCAGAGCTTAAGCCACCTTCTCGCAACATGATCGCCGTCCAGTTGATCGATATGGTTGGACCGCAAAGATTTTATATCCGATCTCTGCTTATGTTTCTTATGGTAATCTGTCTCCCACATTTCGAGCTTATACTATGGCGAAGGGCTTTACTCAGGTACCAGGTCGTGATTTTGGTGCTACATTTGCCCCCGTGGCAAAATTGACTACTGTTCAGTTAATTATTTCTCTGGCTGCGGAGTACTCTTGGCCTCTTCATCAATTAGATGTGAAGAATGCATTTCTTCACGGTGATCTGGACGAGATTATTTATATGGATGCACCACCGGGCTTTCGTGGTGAGGGGGAGTATGCTGGAAAGGTATGTCGACTGCGTAAGTCTCTTTATGGACTGAAACAGTCGCCACGAGCCTGGTTCTCTCGCTTCAGTGATGTAGTCATACGATTGAGGTTCACCAGGTGTCATTTTGATCATACCTGCTTTATTCGACGGAATACTTCTGGACAGTGTGTCATCCTTCTGGTATATGTTGATGATATTATTATTACTGGTGATGATGTTTCTGGGACTGCACAGGTCAAGATAGACCTTGGGAAGGCCTTCGATGTGAAGGATCTTGGATTTTTGCGATACTTTCTTGGGATTGAGGTTGCCCGTAGAAGCAGAGGTATTGTTCTTTCTCAGAGAAAGTATGTTTTGGATCTTCTTTCAGACACTGGGATGCATAGGCCATGTCAGCCTCATCTTGATGCAGTTTATCATATTTTTCGGTACCTCAAGTCTTGTCCTGGACTTGGGTTGTTTTATGCATCAGGATCTCAGACCGGTTCTCTAGCTTGTTATTCAGATTCAGATTATGGGGGAGCATGTGATGGTCGATCTACTACGGGTTTCTGTGCTTTTCGAGGGACTCATCTTATCTCTTGGAAGAGCAAGAAGCAGGCAGTTGTCTCCCGCTCGTCCGCAGAGGCAGAGTATCGGGCATTGACACTTGACACATGTGAGATTATCTGGCTACGATCGATTGTTGACGAGTTGGGTTTTTCAGTGACTTCTCCATCCACATTATATTGTGATAATCAATCTGCTATTCAGCTCGCTTCTGACTCTGTACTACATGAGAGAACGAAGCATATAGAGATCGATGTTCACTTTCTTCGGGAGAAGGTCAGCAGTGGTCTTGTTACTCCATCGTTTGTGGGACCAGTGATCAAGTTGCGGATGTTTTTACCAAACCTGTCACTCTGTCTGTTCTTCGGGACTCCGTTGTCAAGCTTGACTTAGTTGACATTTTTGCGCCTAGCTTGAGGGGGAGTGTTGGAGTATAGATAGTCTAGGTTTATTATAGTTTAGGTTTATTAGGATTTCTTTTCCTATGTTTATTAGGATTTCTTTTCCCTTTAGGATTTCTTTTCCCTTTTTTACCTTTACTATGATTTTTATATTTTGCCTATATATACGGGGTTTTACTCTTAATTTGAGTATCTCTTTTTACTCACAATTATTTCAAGTGTTAAAAATATATTTACCTGATAATCCAACACCATCAATTGTTTGACCATTGCCAAGAATAAGAGTACCCGGATACCTTCTATCTGTGCGACAAGCGGCTACACCGATAGCCCAAGGGCTGTAAGACACCACGGAGGAGTAATCCGGCCCTTGATTACCGGCGGCTTGAACCACGAAAACTCCGGCCTTCTGTGCACCTAACATGAAAATGTCAAACGTGCCCAGAAAAGTGATGGTATCTTCTGGTGGTTCATCTGGTCCAATGGACAGTGATAAGATATCAACTCCATCTAGTACTGCCTGCACTATTAGTATCACATTGTTAAAAACTTGTTCTTTTGATTCTTCAATTGCACAAACAACCCTATGAAAATAGCCCATCGACAACGTTCAATCTAAATGCAATACAAGAAAAATTGTTTTCAGAAGCTTGTCGCTAAAGGTCTATTTTTGGTCGCTAAATTCCCTCCACAAGGGGCAGGACATTTGCCAACAAATTGTCACAGCTTTACTCTGAGAAGGTTTTTCACATGATCATAACTTGTCGCCAAAAGGGATCTTTTGGTGACCTAAGTGGAATGTAGTGGAACTATAAGTGATAATAAGTGTTCCTCATAAAAAATACAATCATTTGACAAAGCAATATTTTTCTATAACATTAGAAATATGTATGAATTAGTGACGAATATTTTGTCGCAAAAACAAAACAGGCGCTGACCACAAGAATGGCGGGAGACCTTTGGAAACGAAATTGATGTATCCACTCGGAGAAGAAAGCGCATAATGGCTTTAATTGGCGTCAATATTCCACTTGCATAGTCCAGAAGTTACTTTTCAGGAAGGGTTTTTTTTGGGTTCGTAACGAAAAGTCGTGGCCAAAGTGTAGTGTGATGTTTCCTTCAATATATTTTTTTGGTTTAAAATGAGATCCATTTCTTACTCATCAATGGTAGATGATCATCTCCTATAAATTCATATAAGACATATTATCTATAAGTGAACCCCTCATTCATGCATGACAAATTATCCACGTTGTGTGCAATTGAGTGAAAGTATAATGAAAAAGATTCAGATCTCTTATTGAAAGACCAAAAAAAGATGTCCATCAATACATGGTAGCCTTCGTGCATGCAAGCATGCATAGTTAATGATATAAAAAGGAGGGCAACTTGTTACCTAGTTCTATGTCGATGTTAAAATGAGTGATGTTACTTGGATCTAATTATTCATTTTTTTTAATTATTTATAATCGTTGAATTGATAGTGAACTTTAGTGTTTGTTAGAACTCATAACCGATCTAAAATAATTGTGATAGATTATATAAGTAAATTATATTAACAGATTAGGTCAAAATAATATTATTGTATTCAAATTTGTGACCTTTGATTGTTATTAATGAAGTGCAGATAGTGGCTTACTTGATCAATTGCTGCCACCACATCTGCTAAAGTTCCCAAGCTCGGGTATATAGCTTTATAAACAGCAATTCTGTTGTATGGAAAGATCAATACATACAAATTAACTTATCTAATCAATATCACATCAACTATATATTAACAGAAAGAACTAAGGAATTATGATATGATCCTGAATTAAGAATTAGGTAAGGATATGAAATGAAAAGGATTATAGAAAATTACCTCGCTCGTGGCGCCATCCCACTGGCTCGTCCATAGCAGAAGCCATCGACGACCACTGGGACTCCATAATTTCCGGCGGCAGTTGATGCCACATGACTGAGAAATAGCAGATTCTTTCTTGTCATGGTGATGAAATTATAAACAACGTTGTGTGAAAACTGAAAATTTACAATGCATAAGGTAAATATGCTCATTAACTTCTGCCAAGTCGAACTTGAGTAAAAATTTGAGTTCGACAGTCAAGTTCAGCTCAAGCTCTGGTACTCAGGTCCAAATCAAGAATGTATTTATTTGAACTTGAAAAGCTCGACGTGCTTAACCCGTGGATGCAAAAACAACATAAAATCTATTTGCATGGATACCCAACTCTGAAATGACAGGTAGCTTGAAAATTTTATTAAGGGCACGGTGATTATACCTGCCATGTCCAACTGCATCAAAAGGTGAGAGAAAGTCGACAGAGGCATTAAGAGTAGCAACTGCTTGAGCCCCGGCTGAGAAAAACCTTGCGGAAACAATCTTACCATTGCAGGAACTCCAAGGAAATCGAGGACCATCCTCACATGCACCAGAAAAATGAGAAAGATTTGACTGGAAAGGATTTGTGGGATCATAACAGAAGCTTGGGTGTACTGGGTTGATCCCAGTGTCCACAAAACCAATCACAATACCTTCACCTGCATTTCTCTCTCCTCCTTCCTCTGTCCAAGCTCCTTCTGGTAACCCTAGGAATTCAGGGGTGTAACTTGTCATTATTTTGGCTCTCCTATCTCTCTCTACCAGCTTAACTCCAGTGGCGTTTTTCATTTTTTCAGCCTGAATATTTGTACAACCAAAACCCTAGATTATATGTTTGAGCTACAGATGAATTTTAAAAATGTTGAATGAGAAAGAATTAAGGAGAACCTGAGAAGGGGTAGTGTGGACAGCAAAGCCATTGACAATGTGTTTGAAGCTGTAGAGCTTGTTGTAGCTTCCTTTGTCTAAAGTGCTCCCTAGAAGCTTGTCATGGGAATCCACCAAGTGTTTTGCATGGGCCTTGGAAACTTCACTGAACAAAAAGTATTAAAATCTAACTAATCATAGCTTAGCTTTCTGAAACAAAAAACCTGCCTATCTGCACCAAAGATTAGTAGAATTTATGTTCAAACTATCGGCTAATACTGATATGACTTGGCAGTATTGGATGTGAGGCCGATATACATTCTATAAAACTATGAATCTCACTCAACTCATGGTTGATTCAAAAAAATTTCAGAGGGTTCAACCGAATTGTCTTAGACTCTTGGTCATCAGTCCATATATAAGGCGACATCAATTCGCGATGATAACGTTATATGCCTTTAATCTTTAATTTTTTAATCTTCTATTTAGTATTTCGTGCATATCACCTAATATCCATTCAATACTGGTTGCACCCTCCAAGTGAAAGGTCACTGACCGGACTGATCGACGTACGCATTTTACTCTTTTTGAAACGATCACAACGGACAAGGATGAATGAGTATATAAATCATGCAATCTACGAAGTTTGAAGACAAGACCTGCTAGGATCAGGTTTTCTTCCTTCTTCGGTAGACACTGAACTGTGATGAAACGCAACCGGCTCGCCTTCTACAAGGACCAAATATATATCCCGCTCTTCTGCAATACATGCAGTAACAATCACCAAGAGGAGAAGTGCTCTATACTGCCATGAAGCCAACATATGTATCGCTTCTCTCATGGTTACAGCACCATGAAAAGAAAGAAGGTTTGGGGATTCAAAACTTCTCATTCACTTGAAAATGGCGACGAAGAATATAAGCTTTTAATAAGCATGCAAAACCAAGGGCTTCAACATGCTGTTAACGTGAATAAAGCTTGTTGATAGGGCTGTAAAAGAACGATTGATCAATTGTTTTTAAGTAACCGTCACCTTTCTGTTTTCGTTCGTACGTATTCAAAACTGAGAGATTCTAAAACGTCATGGTGCATATCGCCTTCGCCATTTCATGCCAAAAACCATGCAGTTAGAGAGAGAGAGAGAGAGAGAGAGAGAGAGAGAGAACTTTAGGGGAAAAAAAAAGAGAACCTAGAGAGGGTTGTCATGACTGAACACCCATTGAACGCTCATCATTGCTGATCATCTGACTCATCTACCATGAATAATCACTATCCATCTGTGTGTTTGAATTATTAGTCCCAGATTATATAGCATTGATTAGGCATTTGTTGGAGAGTTGAAACATACAATTCTTGATCAACACATGCTCAAAATTACTAATAGGAAATAAATACGATAAAATGGTACCGATAAAAGAATTCACTGCACAAAGCAACCGTCATTCAAGTATGTGAAGAGGGTCATCATCAACCACCTCGTTAACATTGTGGAATGTCACAAGAGATTACATTCTGCCCATCAAAATGAAAAATCAGACTGAACTATAACATGCATTTTTCATTTTACCTTGAAAATTTTCCGCCTATCTTATGGTCCCATGTCCTTTCAGGCCTCATATCCAGCTTAATCAGGGCTTATAAAGTCTGATAACACGACAATTTTTTTGTTTTGGAAAGTAAAAAAAAATTCTATTTATCAAAAGGAATACATATACATGTGTCGGGGTGATACCCTTCCAAAATACAATAGGTATCACCTATTATAACTTTAAAACCTATACAAAAGGCAAAGAGCTCGAAAGGTATACAATTCTAAAAGAAGTAAATGCCTTGAGCCAATAATTCCCTCGGAATTATGTGACAAAAGAGCCCTAAAAACACTATATCTGTGAGTACATGATCTCAATCAAAAACAAAACCAAACCGAGGGGATCATTCTGGTTTCCATCAACCAGTTACTCCAACAACTGTTGGGTAGCTGCCATGCTTGAGCTAACACGACCACTTTTCCTTCCAATAAGAATACAAGTCTCTTGGGAAAAATCCAAAAAACTATAGTGGAAAAGAAAGAGAAAGAGGGGGAAAAAAAAAGAATTGCTAAAGCAAAGCAGAAGTGGAATGAAGCCCAATTAGAAGCAACAATAATTAAAGCCATCATCAATCAACAGACCTCCTGCATTGTCCTCCTCCAACCTCAATCACTCCACAATTCATTGCATGGCCCAGTATGTTTGTTAGCCCCTACCAACATAACATGCTTATTTGAATGACAACAAACACCATGGTCCCAGTCTCCCAGAACAAGAAGTTTTACATCAGCTGAAAATGAGATAGTTTAGCTGCCATAGTACCACTAGAGATTATATAATCACATACTAATTTACTGAATCATCATTCTGGACATGATGTGTACTGCAAAATTATCTCATAAATCTGGCATACATACACAAAAATAGAACACATCAATTACTACAAGTCACAGGTCCTGAGCAGAGTACCAGTATGGTTCTCTGCACTGTACAATGCCCACAACAACAGCTGCATAACTTCTAAAACTTCAAAGAAAGTGATGTCTATTTATGCCTCATGACCCCTCCAATTGCATTCACCTCTTCTGACGCTTCGGTTCCACCTGCAAGAGATCAGAAGCTTTATTGAACAATCAAATTATATGTGAGAAGTAGACTGCTATAGCAACATATAACATAAGCATCCTATGTGCATAAAAATAAAAGAAGGCCCCTACTAAGCACGATGAGATGTTTTGACAGACACAACATTACCGATCAGTGATACAAAAGTCATTTGTGCAAAGCTTATACACAATGTCGGCAGCATAAAAAAAACACACGTTACTTCAAAAAGTAAACAACTTGAAGCAAGTGACATTCTAAGTTCAGATAACTTTGTACTGGAAAAAAGAACAAGAGGAGAAAGGGGGGGGAAATTTTGGGCATTAAAACCATGGACAGTGGTAAAATACTTTTTTACTCATGATAAGCACTGGGACTGGTCATAAATGCTTGTGGTAACCCCGCCACTAGAAATTCAGATACAAAATGTAGAGCACCAATAAATGCATTCACAACACAGTTTTATCAGGAAAACATCCACGATTGATAACTTTGAACTTCAGGAAGCCAATTAGACATGCCATTAAAACATAAAACATACTACACCGAGTCTGCGCAAACCCCAACACTAAAATGACCCGATAGGGAAACTTTTGTCAGGAACCCACCAGAATAGACTTTGCCTCACTAGGTTTCATTCTACTTTCAGAAGCAATGACACAAGTAAATTACCAAACGAAATGGCCACATAGAGAGAGTGGGAGAGAGCAAATATCAGGAAAAATGTCGGAACTCAGGCAAATCATCATTCCTAAATGTTTCATTGCACATCCTGGTTTGGATTCAACATTTCTGTTGACCCACTTGCAGTCATGTCTACTTAAGCCTACTAAAGCTAATCTTCAATGAGAGCATCAAATGAAAACTCCAGCACACCAATTGCAATAACTCTCCTTAAAAAAACACACTACTCCTGTCAATACACACATTCCCCAAAAAGAGATGCTTGCCTCAAAAGAATAAAAAGTCAAATGGTATAACTCCAATAAAAAGGGATAGCTAAGTAGTAGAGGAAGTCAGAACGCTGCATAGATAGAATCCGCAATCCGCATGCTATTCCTAAGGCAATGATCTAGAGAAGGAAATCACAAATCAGTTTCTCCAAGCAATCAAGCAAACAACATCGTCTATTGCAATGTAGGTCAGAATATATGATGCAACATTTAAATTGAAATTACCACATACATTCAAACCATGGTAAACAGTAATATAGTACAACATTTGCCAAGTTAAAACAGCAGTCAAGATATCTCATTTTTGGTCACACAATCCCCATGGATGTAAAAGTACACGAGAACGTACAAAAATTTGATGAAGGGCAAGTAAGTCCTACCCGTGTTTTTATAATCATAACAACTTGTTCAATGCATGCTTCCAGAAATAAAACAAAGCAACGCAATTTCAATAAGGATAAATAATAAGCGAGATGGTGTGTATCTTAGAAATGATTGTAGTATCTAGAGAAGTCCATCTAAGCATGCAAACTGGCATCTATATTTAAGCTATTTCACAATTTATATATAAACACACACACACATGCAAACATAGAGGGAGATTATTTGTGTACAACTTCAATTTGTATCCATAGCTGGTACAGTGATTATCTTACTCATCAGATCACTTCACTAATTGCATATTGTAGTAATGTAAAGAAAAAACGTAGAATAAACAGATAACAATCTCCAACTTCGCTTCGAAATTTATTTGATAACTTTTTGCATCAAAGGCACATTTCTCAATAAGCTTCTTCATTATTTGGCTTATCCCTCAAAGCTACAATCCCATATCAACCCAGATAACAAGCAAAAAGTGTATCTTTTGCAATACATAAGCCATCTTAAGCCAAGCCAGGTGAGGCAAAACTACAAACAAACAATCCAGCCTAGGGTCTCACCTTGCCAATAGTCAATGGGGATGCAGGAAATGTATTCCCAGATTTTTTCACACCATCTTCTAATGAACACTCAGAACAAATGAAGTGGTCTAAATGCTTTGCCTGTTCAATAGTCATGCCCACACAAGCAGGATGATACCTACAAGGACCATAGTGGACAACACATTAGGTACCATAATATAGACATGGAAGTTACCACAAGTTCACCATTTACAAATCATATAATTTAGGCACATGAGGAGGCTCAAAAGCTAAAGCGCAGCATCAACAGTAACTGCATAGAAGGAAAATCAAATATCAATTCCAATAGAATACAGTTTTAAACAGTTATTACCAGTACAATAAAAATAAACAAAGCAAGGCCCGCAACCATCAAATGTTCATAAATTAAGATAAAGCAAATAGAACTCATATAGAGGAGCATATGACACCAAAGGCTGCAGAAGACGTTGACAAAGTCAAATTCAAATTTTTAGAAAGAAGCCAATCAACTTAATCAACTTTCAGAAATCATTGAAAGAAAATGTTTATATAACCAAAACGAAAGAAAATGTTTATTAATTTTGGTATTTGTCAAAAATGTGTTAGGCCCAGTGGTAAACTTTAAACTTAGACCCCTCAAGAGAGACACACTTCATTATCTCTTTTCATTGCAGACAAAAAGTAGGAAAATAAAAGAAATAAATCTTAATTTTTTTTTTTTTTGATAAAAGAAGATATTTTTTTTGGAATCTGTTTATTTTATTTATTTAAAACCACTGAAATCTAAGACACCACTGAACAAAGTAAAGTCCAACTACAGAACAACTACGCATCTTTTGCATATCCAAGCAACTACTTTAAGATAGCTTGGGGCAGGCACTCTTCTTCGGAAAGAGGAGTTGTTTGCCCTACCACATCAACCACCTTACCGCTGGAAGTTCTAGCAATGGGCAGCTAGGCAAAGGAAGAAACTATAGCAGGTCTGAATATTTTATGTTTTTGAATTTCTTTTACTTCCAATTTATTCATGGCCAAATGATGGCCCATGGAAGTTCACCAAATTATAAACTTATAACAAACATAAAAAATGCACCCACAATAAAACGATCAGAAACACAACAAAGATGAGAAGAATCTATGTACCAGTCCTTGCACTCATCACACTGTACCATCAAATCATCTGGGTTATATGGCATCTCACATTTGCAATACCTTTAGGTGAAAACCACAAAACACATTCAGAAACTGACAAACACAATTAACTGAATTGCAATCAAGCAAACCATACAACACTTACACTGCAACACGGTCTGGCACAAACGCTCCAGTGGCAGCTTTATACTCAAATCGACAATAGTAGTCCTCCGGCCCAACATTCTCAAGCTTGGTATAATTCTTGAAAGAGTGAATGATACACTTGCCTTCAATGGTGTGGGCACTCTGAACATCATAGTGATCTGACAAGAACAGCTCTTTCGATCCGTGAAACTGTCTCCGGCCTCCCATTGACTCCTCTGGCCTATAGTACCACCTCACTCTAACCTTGACATTGTTCCGATTATCCGCTTCAATCTTCTCAATACGTGCCACGTATGGGGCTGTATCCGTGTCTGATGATCTCAGCAATACACAATCCCCAGCTTCAATACACAAGAAAACAATTGAAAAAATATTGAGTCATTGGGTAATGCATATAATCTCATGTATGTCAGCCTGCGCCAGTATCACTTTCCAAAGGATGCATCAACACAAATCTCCAGCATTAAAACCTCTACAAAAAATCATAAACAGTTCTTGACCACTCAAAATGTGCATACATGGGGACACATATGTATGCTTATAGACAAAATGTCGTCTCAGTGTCTGATGTCTGCATCAACACACCATCTGGCGCACCAAAACCACAAAATAAATCACTCAAGCTATGCACACCCACATATATAATTTCTTTTTTAAGGGTCTTTATCAAGAACAGCATGTAATTACTTAAATGTAAGCATATATCGAGATTCACAAGCGCATATACTTTTAGATGCATGTATATACTGGGTCGTAGCAGTGCTAAATCAGAACATCAATGTGCAAAGCCCAGCTCCAAAACCCACCGACACAGTCAAAAACAACATTTAATCACCCAAAACGATTATATAACATATTTGTAAACCATAGAGAAAAAAAGAAAAATATAAATATCTGCAATGTCCGTATAGGTGTGTATGTTACCTCTGACGACCTTGTTGGTGCCTCTGATGGTGTAAGAATCCAAGTCTCGTTTGCCAGGTCTGGTCTTGGCCATTGAAAGCGGACAGTCTGGGTTGTAGTCTTCAGTCCCAAAGACTGAGCTTTTTCTCACAGATTTGGGGTGTATTTCAACTGAATCGAAAATTTAGGTTCATCGTTCGGGATTGTTCGGAGATTCTCGAGATTGGTCGGTTGATCGACTTTGGCGACAATGGCGATGGTGTTTATAAACCCTAGATTGTGCAAAATAGAAAACCTATAGCTTCTAGATTTTTTGATCCAAAAAAAAAAATATATATATATCTAGAAGCTATTGATTTTCACTAATGGAGACTAGCTGTATCATTTTTTGGGGAAAAGGAGATTGCTTGCACCTATTTATAAAGAAATGACTTTCTAATAAATCTCCAATCCATTGTCACAATTTTTACTGCTGCAAACCCAGGGGGCTAGATCAAGTGGTTTAGATGCCTTAAGTTGGGTTCAATACTCCCGTTATGAAAATGTTCTTTTAAGGTCACATTTTCTAGATTTAATCATGTGCGTGGAAAGTAAGTTTTGCGTGTTGGCTCAATTGACTAATGACTATAAGTTTAAATCAACACGATTGGTAGGTTCTTGAGTTACATTGTTACATCTAAATTAATTCAAAATCACAAATTTACATTCTACATAGTTTTTACTGTACAGGAATCACAAATTCGGGATCGCAAATATAATCTAAAATGACTCTGGACCCTTAGATTAATTGGGTTTTGTGATTTTTTTCGATGGAATTCACTAATTTAATGGTCGATAGTCAATTTGAGATTCTATTTAGGATCCATAGTATTTTTCTTATTTTTGATTTTGTCTCTTGATGTGAAGCAATGGGCAGCCACTAAAATAATGAATTATTGGATTAGATTATGATATTATATATTTTTTTTTTATTTTTGAAATCATACTTCATTTTTTTTTCTCATCTTGTAGAGATACATGTTATATTTTATTTAATTGTGTCACTTTAACTTATTTTTTTAATGATGAATGAATACAAATAACTGAAAGCTAGATCTTTCGGTGAGAATCAATAATTAAATTTCATAATGCACGGCACCATCAATTGGGTCAAGTTGTCTTGACATTTATCCCTTATGTATGAGCATCATTAAATCAAATTATAGTTGAATAATTATTTAAGTTCAATTTAAAGTTTGAGCTGAGTTTGGAATAATCCAGTAGCTCAACTTGATCAATGTTAAGTCCCAACTTAGTATTGATTCAGCTACTTATGATTCAACTTAATATTAATTATTCTGATTCAACTACCTATAAGGAAGCTTCAGATGACAAAGTCTTGCTAGACAAAGGAACAGAGAATGAATGCAATGCAGATCTCACTACAATAGATACCTCATATGAGACATGTCCCAAGGTTAGCTTACCCAAGAAAATCTTATATAGGATTAAGAGCAAGTAGAGAGATGGTCTCATAGTAAAACAAATTGGTAGGAAAATTGGTTATAGAGAGTTCTACAATAGGGTGCATAATATTTAGGGGTTGCAAAGGGATTTTGAAACCATTGATCTCGATTTTTGGTTTTATATGTTCAAATTCGAGTTGAAATAGGATTGTTTTAAGGTATCTACAAGAGGACCTTCGATCATTATGAATCATTACCTTATAGTTTGTAAATAGGAACTAGATTTTATTGAATCACAAGCTCAATAATTCTTCACAACATTATGGATTAGGCTTCTAGAGGAGTTGTTAGAATACTATGAAGAAGGAACCCTATTCAAGGCAACTAAGGCATTGTGGAAATCCATCAAAGTAGACATTAGAACAATCACAATAGAAAGGGGTAAGTTTGCAAGAGCATGTGTGGAAAAGACCTCTCTAAGCCACAAGTATCTCATTTTACATTGGGAGGAAGATTGTTCAAGGTGGAGTAGGAATGTGTTCATGCCCTCTGTTTGCTTGTAGAAGAGTGGAACATGTGGATCTTTAATGTCCATACTCTTAGAAAACAACAAAGAAGGCGAGAAGGGTCTCTAGAGAAGAGAGACTAGTCAGAGTTGCAGATAGGGCTATTAATCAAACTGAGCTTTTCGAGCTCGGCTTGGATTCGACTTATTTTGGGCTCGTTCGAGTTCGTTCGAATATTATAAACAAGCCGAGTATGAACACAATTTAAGGCTTGTTTATAAACGAATCGAACTCGAGCTCGAGCTCGAATTCGAGTTGCTTGACAAGCTTGATATTTTTTACCTAGTTTTACTATTATTTTTTAGTGGTCTAATTATAACTGTCCATTCCAAATCTCTATTGAGATCCAATGGTGACGATAACATGTATATTAACCTGTCTAACCCTAAATCCCTAATACACCCAAACCCAATCTGGCAATCTGAAGGCGCTCTCAACTCCATCTCTCGTCTGCCACTCATTGGTGAAGCCCTCAACTCTATCTCTCGTCTGCCACTCATCGGTGAAGCCCCATCTTTCGTCTTCATCTCTTCTTTGTGGATCAGGTACAACTCTCAAGCGACAAGAGTCTGGTTGTGCTGCATCTCATCTGAACAGTTACTTTGTGCATCTCAAATCTGAACATCTATGATTATTTATTTTGTTTGACCTCTTGTTATTAGCTTTGAGCTTTCATTAGTCTATTTTTCGATTATTCAAGTACAGACATAGGGCTGGTTGGTTATTAAATTTAGGCACTCACCCAATACACTATCGAGGAATTTTGGCATGACCCATTTTAGTTATAGCAACAACAGGACCATTAACTTGGAAAGGAAAACATTGGGCTTGCTAGTCACCAATGGAAGAACTCACCTGCCTTCTTTCTTGTATTACTACTACACCCAATACAAGCCCAATGGTTAAGCAAAATAAGATCCTAATTTTTTTTAATCTATTTTTTTAACAAGTTGATTGCTGGGCTCTCTAATTTAATTTTTAAGTTTGACCTAGATTAATTTTGGTGATGTGATCTTTTGTATTGCAGAGCTTGAAGGCTATTTATAACTATGTGGGCATGATCTTCTAGGATTTCTATTTAGTTTACATTTTTTGTCATAGTACATTATAATTAAGTTTATTGAGGCATTGAGAGTTCTAAAATTTGGTAGTTTCTTTTAATTGTGACAAATGCTACTACACTGCCCATATCAAATGCTTAGAAGAAGATTTGAAATATAATTGGTGTGTGTTGACTTTGTTAGTAAGGGGATTTGATAACTTTATATCTAATTTCATCTTTGTTTTGTTCAGATGGCTTTTGATTTTGTGTCCTCTAGTATTATAAATGGTGGAAATGAAGAAACTATCGATAATGATGCTGCTACAATCGAAGGGCCTTCTGAAAATGAACCACTCCAAAAAAAATACAGGAGGAAGACTTCGAAAGTTTGGGATGATTTGGAGACAATATATGAAAATGGAAAAAGAAAGGCCAAGTGTAACCATTGTAAAACAAATCTTTCTTTGGGTCGAGAGGCTCCCACAACTCATCTTAAAAGGCACTTAGAAACTTGTCCAATTCGTCAAGCTTCTGTTTCTGGCCAAAAGAAAGGACTTACTCAACAATTATTGGCTCTCTCCTTAACTACTTCCGATGGGTCTGGTGGGTTGGCAGCTTATAAGTTTGACAAGGGGAAGGTAAGAGAAATTTTAACAAAAATGATAATAGTGCATGAGTATCCTTTTAGGAAGATTGAACATGAATTGTTGTGATGCTTCTTAAATCTCTGAACCCACGTTTTGAGCCAGTTAAACGCCTCACCATAAAAAATGATTACTTGAAAATATATGTGAATGAGAAAATGAAATTGAAGAGAATGTTTTCTACTGTTGACCGAATTAGCTTGACGACAGACTTATGGACCTCCAATAAAACAATCGGGTACATGTGTCTTACCGCACACTTTTTGGATGTAGATTGGAAGTTACAAAAACGTATCTTGAATTTTTGTTGCTTGGCACCCCCACACACAGGTTTTGTGATTGTTGATAGTATTTACAAGTGTCTAACTGATTGGGGGGGGATTGAGGATAAGGTGTCTACCATTACTCTAGACAATGCATCCTCAAATGATGTAGCGGTGAGGAATTTAAAAGATAATTTTTCTGTTAAAGGTAAGTTTTATTTCAATGGTAGAATATTTCATGTTCAGTGTTGTGCACATGTTTTGAATTTAATGGTACATGATGACTTGGGTGAGATAAGAGATATAATTGATAACATATGTGAGAGTGTGAAATACTTGAAGATGTCTCATTTGAGACTTGATAAATTCAATGAGATTGTAAAACAATTGCAATTGCCAACAACTAGGAGATTGATTCTTGATGTGCCTACTCGGTGGAACTCAACATATGAAATGTTAGAATCTGCATTTCTGTTTAAAGAAGTGTTTCCAAGGTACAAAGAAAAAGATAGCAACTATCGATGGTTGTCAACTGAGGATGATTGGTCAAGAGCTGAAGAGGTATGCAAGTTTTTAGAAATATTTAATAATGCTACATATCTATTCTTGGGTTCCTCTTACCCAACTTCAAATTTATTTCTTTGTGAAATTTGAAAAATTAGAAAGAATTTGAATGAGCATGAATTTGATAATAGGGACTGCATGAGTCGCATGATTGCTAGAATGAGTGAAAAGTTTGACAAGTATTGGGGAGATTGTAACTTGTTGATGACAATTGTAGCGGTTCTAGATCCTAGATATAAAATGAGACTTGATGAGTTTTATTTTCCCAAAATTTATTCATCGGATGAAGTAGTGCATTATATAGATGTTGTTCGTAATTCCTTGTATGATCTCTACAAGGATTATGTGTCTAAAGATATACAACAACCAAAGACTTCGTTTGAAAGTAGAAACGTTGGTGGCACTAGCAATGTCAAGGGAAAGGCAAAGCGTGTGAATGAATTTGATCTATGGGCCAAACAGTTGGACATTGTTCAACCGTACAAGTCTGACCTGAAAATTTATTTGGAAGAAGGCATTTACATTCGTGATGAAAATGACACTGAGGATTTTAATGCCTTGAATTGGTGGAAAGCAAACACTCTTAAGTTTAGAAACCTGTCAAAGATGGCACGAGACATACTATCTATTCCCATTACTTCAGTTGCTTCGGAGTCTGCTTTTAGTGCCGGAGGGAGAGTTCTTGACCAATATCGAAGCTCCTTGAAGCCCGAGACAGTTGAAGCTTTGGTATGTATCAGAGATTGGTAGCGTAATAATTTTGGAATCCACAGATCGAATATTGTAAGGATATTTTTACCTTGTGTTTCATTTTGTTTTAGTTACAATGAATTTCATTGTTGGTGTTTTATTTACAGGTTGTTGAAGAGAATGAGTTTATGAATGAAGATAGCCTTGAGGAAAACAGCTTTTGAATCATTTTTTTAAAGGTATCAATAACAATTCTTGGTTATGGTTTTGAATCATTTTTTTAAAAGGTATCAAATACTAATTCTTGGTTATGGTTTTTTCATTACAGGCTTTACTACGAGGGCACTTGGCTATTTTTTTTTGTGAAACATGCTGTTTTTTTTTTTTTGGGCACTTGACAATTTGTATGCTCTTTTGAAATTAATTTTTGTGATCAGTTTCATCATGCGGCTAGTTGTTGTTTAATTTGGTTGTTTTATGGACAATTTTTCTTGTTGGTGATGTGCATCAATGCATGTGCATGCTGTGTGTTGGGTGATGTCCATGAAGAAGTTAATTATGAATTTGTTATGTAGTGTTAATTTGTTATGTTGTGTTAAGTGGTGTTGAATTTTGTTAAAATTCAAGCCTGTTCGCAAGCCTAAATTTGATTTCTTTGGTCAAGTTTTATACGAGCTAGAGCTTGGATTCGAGCTTGTTAACAGAAAACGAGTTTAATCAAGTCGAGCTTGAACTTTTCATTTTTTAGTCAAGCCGAGCTCAAGCTAAAAAAAAAGCTTGATGTTCGAGCTCAAGCCGAGCTTGAACATCTTCCTAAAATGTCAAGTCGAGCTTGAGCATGGTGATGCTCATCGAGCTTGGTTCGATTATCACCCCTAGTTGCAGAATAGCCACCCTTAACGGATAGCTCTGCGCAAAGGTCAAAGAATATTCCAGTTTCAAATCCTAATGGATCAATAAGCTCTAAGCCCATCTCTGAAGACCCAGAGGCAGCGTATTTTTGGCCTTGGATGATAGCTTAATCTAGGAGGAGAAACCAACTAGCCAACAAAAGACCTACTAACGAATAATCATAGAGACAAGCTAATAGATTTCATGCCTTAGAGAATGATCCATCAAGTCAAGCTGAGCCCAAAAACACAGGTGGACCAGCCAAACAATAGTTTATTTACTAGACCAAATCTAACATAAGCAACGGACCCAGTCCAAACAACAAAAGACAATGGGTGCTAGAGGTCTAGAAGGAGTCAAAACAACAATTCAGAAAAAAACGATACATATTCTGGAGAATGGCTAGAGATTTGAAGGCAAGTGACCTGCCTTGGAAAGAAAAACACATCCAACAACCAGTAGTTCCCTGTAGTTAATATCAACTGTCACTTCAATCCAAATATTGGGGTTAATTACACCTTCCTAAAATACCAACTCCAAAAACATAACCCTAACCCATACAGATTCAACCTCATCTTCAAGCCCTCCATCTTTTCTTTAAAACATCGAAAACCTAAAACCCTCCTAACCTAATATCAGAGAATAACCTCTAGGGGCCAAAAGATGAATCAAGACGTCCCAAACCACTAGATCCAAGTAAGGGAAGAAATGGGTATGGAGAATCAAGTGCTAAGACATGCACAACTAAACACAACCTTTGTGGGTCTCATCTTTTATCCAAGATGAAGACAAATGACTCACAAAATTCAATTACATGATCATAACATAGCGATAAAGGTTTGTTTAGTGATATAAGGTTGTTACCTTGCTATAGCAAAAGTCCACACAATCGTAACTACAATGATGCCAATGGGATCTCTATTGGAGAATATGAGAAGAGTTCAAGAGAGTCTGAGTAATGATATATGTATTCTTGTATCCCAAATTTCATTTATGTCATCAATGAAGATATGACTTAGAATTGTAGAGGAGCTGGTAACAAAAACTTCATGAGAACCTTTAGAGACCTATTTTAATTACATTATCTGAGTGTGGTGGTCCTAATGGAAACAAGACTTAATAGTGCACGACTTGAATTTTTTTTGATCATTTTGAGTTGATAATATTAGCAAAAATTGAGACTGAGGGTAGATTAGGAAGTATTTGACTGCTATGGGACACTTGCAATGTCATAATAATAGTGAATGAGATTAACTTACAAGTTATCCGTGCAGTTGTGTCGATGAATAACTTTGAAGAGTGTTTTTTCTCAGTAGTTTATGAGAGCCCTAGTTTGTCAAATACGAAAATTCTATGGGACAATTTGAGAACCTAGGGAGACAACTTTCAAAACTCGTGGATAGTCGTCGGGGATCCTAATGACTTCTCTAGTAACTCTGAGAAAAGGAGGAGACAAACAAGTCACCATAGAAGAAACACATGATTTAATGAATGCATTAACAAATGTGGATATTGCAGCATATCACAACTATTCACCTATGTCAAAGGAAGTATATTTTGAACATTTTGGCTGATTCTGGTACTTTGGGTTCTAAACCAGTCAAGATCTCTTTAGATTAGAATCTCAAACTTAGCAAAACTACTGGTTATTTATTAGTTGATCCCATCATCTATTGCAGGCTCATTGGTAGGCTGTTATATCTGACAATCACTAGACTAGATATATTAGTTACACAATATAGATTTTAAGTCAGTTTATGGATAAACCAACCATTGCTCATCTTGCAGTTGCACACAAAGTTCTGAGGTGTCTTAAGCAAGCTCCTGCTCAGGACGTTTTGTTTTCCTCTTTCTCTTAGCTTCAACTACGAGCCTACTGTGATTTCGATTGGGCTTCTTGTCTTGATACTCACAAATCTGTCACTGGCTATTGTTTTATTGGGCATTTCTCTTTTTTCTTGGAAATCAAAGAAATAGTCTGTTGTTTCTCGTTCTTCAATAGAAGCTAAATATAGAGCTACGACTGTTACATGTTCTGAGCTCAGTTCGCTGTGTTGTCTGCTTACTGGTCTTCAAATGCCTCATCCACAGGCTATTTTGCTTTATTGTGACAACTAAGTTGCTCTTCACATGACTGTTAATCTTATCTTTCATAAGTGTACTAAACACTTTGAGTTGGAATGTCATCTTGTTCGAGACAAAATTCAAGAGGGAAGCATCTAAACAGCTCATGTCCTCACACAATTTCAGTTGGCATATATTTTCACTAAAGCCTTACCCTCTTATGTTCTTTATGTTCATTTATCCAAGAAGGGAATAATTAATCTCTATTCTCGCGAGGGGGGTATTGCAACATATCAAAGCTGCAGAGAAGGAGAAACACAATAGAGCAGTTGCAGAAGCAAAATGAGAATCAATTGCAGCTGATAGAAAAGGAAAATGATAACATTATTAATTAGTTAGTCGGTTAGCTAATTTGTTAGATAGTTAGTTAGCTAATTTGTTTTGTCTCCTGCTGAGTTGGAACTAGCCATGTGAAGTCATTGATAGAGTTATATACCAAAAGCTTACTTTATGTAGTGAAACTCGTTTTATTAATTAATAAGAGTTTTTTTTTTCATTCTATTGAGAATATATGTGGGCAAAATATTTACATTATATTTGATATATGGTATGCATGTGTGTCTTGTATTTTACATTATAAATAATTTAGTGTGTAGAGTTCAGCTTATGTATGGAAGACCAAATTATCAGATTTTTGTATAATATGAATACAGGTTCACAATCCTAGATGGAATTAGACACGCCATTAGTATGATTGTAGTGTAGTATTTTTGCATAGTCTATATTGTCTATAGGAGACTGTTTGATCTCTCGAATTATTGCACTAGTATACTTTGTGTATTGAACATACCTATGTTGAGGTTATTATCTTTTATTGATTGAATAAGATAATAAATATCTCATGGTCATTTTTTTAAAATATATTTTTTTTGGAGGAGAAAGGGGAGGAGGGAAGAGAACTTGAACTCTTGACCTCAATAAGACAAAGTCTTTACAAAATAAGGAGTACCAATGGACCAAAGACTCATTGATTTATTGTTATTATGATTGCTTATACTCTTAATCCCGAAATAGTTAATTGCCACGTGCATATAATGATTGTCACTTTAATTTATCAAATAATGAGATTCATATTAAGTCAATAAGCTTGGTGAATTGAGAGAAAATATTATTTGTACAGTAGAAATTAATTATTAAAAGAAATCACGTCCTGGTATTTAAATGAGTTGATGATGTCCTTTTGAAAAAGTACTTAAGTTTTGTCTATGTCAAACCTTACAGGTGGATTTACTTATTCGACATGACAAATAAATTGAGTGGTAAGGTCTCAAGGAATAAAAGAAGTCAATTAAATATAATTATTAGTAATTTATTTAATTGATGGACATTTGTAATCTTAAACGTAGAAAAATTATTAAGCATATAATAATAAGGAGCTGGAAACATAATTTTTGAGATAAGATTTAGAAGATCAATAATAAATTTTTAGTGAACTAACTTATTATTAATGGTCTACAAGATATTTGTTATTGGTTAAACATAGGAATTCTTGGCCCATTGGAAGTCCGACCCTTATTTCTCCTTATGATTTATGTCGTAGCCTATATATAGACATCTAGACTCTCTAAATCAGCATCACCTTTATTACTCACGTTTTAAGGGAGGCTGAGAGAAAAAGCAAAAATTCGGAAGTCTTTGCAGCCGGATTTTGGCGTTGGAAGATATACAACAGAAGATTGTGAGATTCATCGAACTTTTTTCTGCATCTATTTTTAGATTATGCGTTCATGCTGAGATGAGATCAATTTAGAACTATCTCGAAGGTACCCTTGTTTCGCTTTGTAGGGTTTTAAAGGATTTTTGTTTTTGTTATTGATATATATGCACTGTCAATGATTTTTGGGACTTTTGTTCCAACAATCATGTGCATAGTCAATTAGGTTGTTGAGGAATTGTGTATAAATACTATCGTATATAATGAGTTGATTGATTGAATAAGAAGAATATGCAAAAACTTACTCCATGACTTAGCTCTCTCTGTTTCCTCATCTTCTTCATTTTCTATCAGTGGACTCATTAATCTAGGGTGTGGCAGGCCTAGGTTAACTAGGATGAATAAGTGGAAGGGACTCCCAAACATAATGATCAGGCTTGATAGGGCTTTAGCAAATGCAAACTAGAGGTTACAATATTCGGAAGCATGTGACAAAAATTTGCCAAGAACGCATTCAATTCATTGTCCATTACTCATCCAACTCATAGGTAATAC